AACGCCACAGCGAATATCTAGATCACGAAAACAGCATGAGGCAGAGACGTATAGGCGCGGTCGAGGCGAGCCGAGTGAGTAATGGCGCCATCCCTCACCTCCCTCCGAGTGCGCCCTCCTCCTGGTAAAGCTCCGCGAGACCAGGGGGGGCCCGAGAGAACGCCCTGGACTGGGGCCGATCCCCTGGTTTCCATCCCGAACCATCAAACTGCATGCGTCCCTCCTCATCCAGGGCGAAGTTAAAGTCGCCTAGCATGATCCTGTGTTCTTTCGGGAACTGCACAAACTCTGCGCGAATCACTGCGAGGGCACGGGAATACCCTGCAAGAGTACCACTCGTGTTCGGAAGGTGGAGATTGAAAATGCTGAGAGAACCGCTGGGAACAGTAAGAGTACTGCGGAATGCACGAACCAGTAATGACCGCATTATGAATAATGGCACAAGACTGATTGCAAATGGAAGAATTCAGAGCGGCGGCGACCCCTCCCGCGCGCCGGGAGTCAGGAAAGGATGACGAACCATTAGGATGACCAGACATCTCCAAGCCCAGCCCGCTGTGGAGCTCCCCCATACCACCGATATGTCCGTGAGCCCCTTAGCAGCAAGTGACAGAGCGCTGACGAGAGAAGGGGGGGAAGGCGAGAGCATCGAGCTCCAGCGCGCCGCGAGGCGGACTTCACGGAGCAAAACAGACCGCGGGTGTTCCGCGAGCAGACAGAGAGATCGGAGGAGGGAACAAACGGCAGAATCTCTGGAGAGAGGGCAAAAGGAAGAACCTCACCATGCTCAGTCGGGGAGTGCGCGCGTGAAACGACAGACGATGGAAGAGAGCAAGTGCAGCCGGCTCGCTGTCTACGGGGGCGCCTGATCTGCACGTCGGCCGCGGCGCGAATGGCAGCCCCCTGGTTCTCCAATCCAGAAGCGCAGAGGCCTTCTGTGAAGATGTTGATGGAGACGGTCAACGCGTCGTCCGCCATCGAGAATTGAGCAAGTTCGATAGGTTCATGTTCCGACTTGAGGGCCGAGACCACGCCGCCTAAGCCGCTGCTGCCGACTTCGGTGCGCTTGCCCACGAGGCAGTTCGCGATGTGCGAGCGGACTCGGCCCATGGAGAGGAAGAGCTGCCGAGCTTTGGTGCCCCGGTGACGTTTGACGCGGAGGTGGGGCATGGGCTGCGGAGCGAGCGGGCCGGGAAGTCGAGCGAGGGATCGCGAGAGAAGTTGCTGAGGAAGTCCGTGGCCTCTGCGGGGCGCTCGAAGTCGAGGGTGATCTTCTTGGCCATGCCGAAGCACTTCGCAGCGGCGCGGATGGCGACATCAGCAGGGGCGCATTGGATCTTGATAGCGCCCGCAAGTGCGCGAAGGGACTTGGCGAGCATCTTGCGAGGGGGGCCAACGACGATCAGCCCGCAGGCAGACTCCTGTCTCGACGATGCAGCATCTGGTGCAGTCCAGCGCGAGGTCGTACTAGCAGTAGACGGGGCACGCGAGAGGGCGGTCCGCTTCTCTTCAACGCCCGCAATCTGGGCCTGGACGCGGTCGCGAAGAGTGGGGGCATGACCTGGGTCCATCGGGGTCGGGGTGGACTGGGACTGGGCCGCGATGTTCTCTTTGAGCGATTCAAAGCGAGAGTTGAGGTCCGTGTGCATCGCTGTTTGCTGGGCTTCGAGGCGGGAGACCTTGCCTTGGATGTCTGTGGAGAGGTTGTGCATGTTAGCTGTCAGCTGATCACAGTGAACGGCCTGGGCGGAGACATGAGACTTGTTGAGGCCAATATCTTGGGACAGCATGGAGAGCTGGGAGCCGAAACCACGGAGGGCACGAATAACCTCATCCAGTTTCTCATCTGGAAACACCCGAGGCAGTCTTTGCTTGTCCGAGCGGCTGCGTGACGGCGAAGACGAACGGTCACGGTCACTGAGAGGCGAATTCGAGCGACCAGCAGCACCTGAGCCAGCTTCCGTCCTGGCAGCCGAGCGGTGAGAGCGAGAGACGGGCATCGCGGCGGCTCCGCAGTGAACGGGGAATGAAAGTGGGAAGGGGGAGCAGAGAACCGCGTTGGTGTCGCCATCCTGAACCGCGTGCACCCTGATGAGCTGCACGATGCCCCATTCACCATGAAAATAATCATCATCACCATCATCAGCAGCAGCATCATCATCGTCATCACCATCATCATCATCACCATCATCAGCAGCAGCATCATCATCGTCATCACCATCACCATCATCATCATCATCATCATCATCATCATCATCAACATCATCATTTGCATCATCATCATCATCATCATCATCATCATCATCATCATCATCATCATCATCATCATCATCATCATCATCATCATCATCATCATCTTCATCTTCATCATCATCATGTTGCTCCTCGCTCCGCGCCCCCGCGCCTCGCGGGCGTTCCACGGCGCAATGGCAACAGAAAGCCGCGCCCCCATCCGCGCGTCGCGGACGCCCCGCGGCCCCCTCAACAATACCTCGGCTCGGCGGCGCCAAACCGCATGATTCGCGCCGCGGCGACCCCCCCCCGTGCCGCGCGGGCCCCCCCGGGCGCCATGGCCAAAAAACGGGCTGGGCAGTGCAAGACCCCGAGATTCTCGCCGCGCCCCCCACCCGTGCCTTGCGGGCGCCCCGCGGCGCCATGAAAACAAAATTGCGGTTCGGCAGCGCCGAGCCCCAGGACCACCGCCACGGCGCACACCCCCAAGCCTCGTGGGCGACCCCTGGCGCCATGCAGCGCCAAACTCGAAGATTTCTGTCGCGGCGCCCCGCTCCGCGCCTCGTGGGCGCCCCGCGGCACCCTCGGCTCGGCTGCGCCAGAGCCCGGGAATGTTGCCACGGCGCCCCCCGCCGCGCCATGCGGGCGCGCCGCGGCGCTGCGGCATGAACCCCTCGGCTCGGCAGCACCAGCGCCCAGGGTCTGCGCCGCGGCGGCCCCCCGCGGCGCCCCGCGTCGCCATTGCCAACAAAACCCTATGCTCGGCGGCGCCAAACTCAATGACTTCGGCCACGGCAGCCCCCCGCGCCTTGCAGGCGGCCCACTGCGCCATGGAATAAAAAAACAAAGCTCGGCAACGCCAAACCCTTGGCCTAAAGATCGCGACCCTCGATTCCGGGGCGGCGCTCTTTTCGGTGACCCACTGGCGCCCTGGGCCGCAGCCCAAATCTGGCTTCTCTTGCTTATTGGGCAAAGCTCGCCACAGGGACTTGCCCGCCCCCATGGCCTTTGGCGCATTGATGGCGACCCCTGATTCCTGCGCGCCTCTCGCACCAGGGACGCGCCGCTCGTCGTAAGGACCCATCCCGTTGAAATGCCCGCGGCTTGGCAACCGATTCTTGATGTTTGACCCGTTGGCTGAATAAGCACACGTTGCCCTAAGATGACTCAGCTCCTCTCGTAGATCTGATCAAAACCCATGGGGGGCAGGCAAAAAATCCCATCCAGCGCCAGCCCCTAAGATGGGCTACGCCCGAGCGTCAGTTTGCGATGCGTGGCCACGTACTCGCGACTCACCGCGCAGCGGAGCCTTGCCGCTGTCGCGGTGCGCCCAGAAGACGCAGAGCGGCATTCAGATCGGCACCGCTCCACCGCGCAGAAAACTTCTGGAAGAGCCGTGAGGCTCCACCCACCACCTGCTTACGGCCTCTCCCGATCACTATTGGACTAGTGGGCTCCTCAGGTCTGGGGGGCGCCCTAGGGCCCTTGAAACATCTGAAATATTTGCGCGCCTCCGATCCGCAAGGCTTTCGCTCGCAGGACGTCGGTCTCCGGGGTTTCCCCCCCCACCACCTGGCCCTTACTAAACGACTAAACGAATCAGACATGAGCGTTAGCTTTGACATATTGAAGTGAAAGGGCTCTCCGGGTATGCACGGTGGGAGCTGGGAACAACGAAAATTGTCGGGAGATGTTCTAGATTTGTTTCTGAATTTTCGTCGCGCCGGAGATTTGGCGGAAATCCCCAGAGATTTGTACAGCCTGGAGATTGTTTTCCGGAGATTCCCTCGGAGATCTTACAGCCCGTAAATTTTCTGGAGATTTTGGGAGTGCCCAAATACGATTTGGAGATTGCTTCAGAGATTATCCGGATACGTTTCATCTAGAGGGCTCTGGACGCGTTTGCCATATTGATCAAATATAAAAATAGACTGTGCCAGATAGATTGCGCCACAGGAATTGCACCACATAGCTTACACCGTATATATATATATATATATACACACATATGTGTATATATATATCTATATATTGCACCACGTAGCTGCCACCACATATAATAGGTAACGAAGATTGCACCACACAGAATGCTAAAACACACTGTTTGGAGTCCACCGTTACCAGAATGTCCTCTTCCACGAAAGGAGGGGATAGCAGAGGGGGAATATAGCGAATCGGCTGCACGTAGCTGGTTTGCCCAGCGCCCCCGGCGCGGGAGGCGGCCAAGCATCGGGGGACGTGCCCAGAGGTGGCGCCGAAGCCGTTTGGCAGCGGCTTTCGCACCCCCTCCTAATTCTTTCCTTCCGCATCCTCCAGCATGTGTGTCGGCGCGTCAGTCACAACAACGCATGCGTCTGCCATGTCCTTTCCTTTCCTGCACGCGTCTGGCGCGTCTGTGTCTGTCTGCGTCCTTTCCCGATCCATTGTCGCCCCCCCAGACCCCAGACTGGAGAGGCATCTCCTGATTCAGCGCCACGCAAAATCTCATTCTATTATCCGCGATCACATCACGCCCGTGACCGGGGCCCCGCCCACCCCCCCTCCCTCCCTCCCCTGTTCACGTCACGATTCGCGCCGGCGCCGTCTTTTGGGGCGACGGCGGCTCTCCCGCCGGGCCCAAATCGGCTCACACCCCCTGAACCCCACCCGTGGTCCATCCTGGCCAGATTCCCGGACAGGCCCAAAAATGACGAAGGACGCCAGGGCGGGCGGCCATTGCCTCGACTGGCCCTGCTCCGAAATGTGGCACCAGGTGGGCGCGAGCGCGCCTCCAGGCTCACCAAGGACTCGTCTCCGGCCAGCCCCCTCCACAAGTCCAGCGCGTCGCGCTTGTAGCCAAACCTTGGCCGGCGAGGGGCAGCCGAGGGTCAACCGAGGGGAGCAGCCTGCTGAGCGCCTTCCATGCCCTCCCCCGCCACAAACTTCCGTTCTTCTCCAACCTCTTCCTCTTCCTCTGCATGAGCGTTCCCAGATATGCCGCTTCTCCCCTGCTTATCCTCCTCCTCCTCCTCCTCCTCCTCCTCCTCCTCCTCCTTCATCACCTCCCTGCTACCCGAGCCCACAACACCCCCACGTGCGTATTATCACCAAGCTCCGCCGCCCCCTCCGGCCCCAACTGCATGCACCTAGCAGCACTGACATCGCGACGCATACATACATATTACACATGAGAAAATCCAATCAGTGGATGATTTGGAAATTAGTACTATGGATCTTGAGATCGATAATGAGATCGATTGTGGAATCGATAGTGAGGACGAATGTAAGGTCGATCGTGAGACCGAGTGAAATCGATTCAATGAGATCGATAGTGAGATCGATCGCGAGATCGCTCATGCGATCTCTAGTGAGATCGCTTGTGAGATCGATAATGGGATCGATAGTGAGATCGATAGAGAAATGTGTAATGAGATCGATAAAAAGACCAATCGACAAGAAGATCATAAATACAGATTACACCTGAGAAAACCCCAACCAGTGGATGATTTGAAAATTAATTATACGGATCTTGAGATCGATTGTGAGATCGATAATGAGATCGATAGTGGAATCGATAGTGAGGACGAATGTAAGGTCGATCGTGAGACCGAATGAAATCGATTCAATGAGATCGATAGTGAGATCGATTGCGAGATCACTCATGCGATCTCTAGTGAGATCGCTTGTGAGATCGATAGTGAGATCGACGGTGGGATCGATAGAGAAAGAGATCGATAGTGAGACCGATCGACAAAAACATCGACCACGAATCCGGGAACCCGGGAACCTCGCCGCCCTCCGAAATCGGCACGGAAGCCGGGACCGGGAACCCGGGAACCGGGAACCCGGGAACCCAGCGTGCGACAAAAATCGGCGGGACACTTTCGCCCAATTTTTCAATTTGCGCGAGGACGCCCTCAGTGCAAGCACTGATTGGGGAACATACGTACTTACGTACGTACGTGCGTACGTACATACATACACATATGTACGCAGACATCAAAGCATACATACACCTGTACATACCTACTTAGATACATGCATGCATGCATACATACACGCATTCATACATGCAAACATGCATACACACGCACATACATACTTGCCTGCATGCATGCAGCCATACATACATGTATATACTTATATGTATGCATGCATCCATTAGCACAGACACACATACTTACATACATACGTGCATACATACCGACCTATCTACATACAAACATACACACATACATACATCAGCCCATGCATACATGTAGATGTACACATGTATACATGCATACATGCATGCATATACATACTCACATGTATACAAACCCATACGTTCAAACATACACAGTTACATCTATATATATATACATGCGTACATACGTACATACGTACGTACGTACGTACATACAGACTTACATACAAATATACATACATACATACATACAAACATACATACATACAAACTAGAACCACGCGCGCGCTTCGCGCGCGCTTAGGTTCCAATCGACTCCGAAAACGGCGTCAATTTCCATGGGACCTTTTCCATGTGGTCTTCCGGGCTCCTCCCTTTCATCCATGCGTGATGTTCGGGCGGATGCTGCGAAGTTCAAGGAAGGGTTTGGCCTGTAGCGTACCAGCGACGACCGACGACGACGACGACGACGACGGACCACCGACGATTAACATAATTGTCACCTGATCCACGTGTGCGGGAGAGGCGTTTCCGAAGCGTCTTGCGGGCGTCATAATAGCGTCCACGGGCCTCGACATTGGGTGGGCGGGTCGGGGGGTGCAGCCAGGGCCACGTGTTCCGAAGCGCTATTCTGGAGCATGGAGGACGAAGGGCTTCTGGCGGGCTTCTCAGGGTTTGTGTAGAGGCCTCCTGCGAGCTCGGTGGGGGTTTATCGGGAGCTTCTCGGGTCTTTCTGAAGCTGTTTTGGTGTTTTTTTGGGGCGTCGTGGAGGCCTCCTGGGAATCTCTTGGGGCCTCCTGGGGGCCTCTTGGGGCAGAGGGCGCCTCTGTTCGGGCATCTGGGAGCTCTCTGGAGCCTCCTGGGAATATCTTGGGCCAGCTTGGGAGCCGCTGGGAGGGTCCGGGGCCCCATCTGAACCCTCTTGGAGCCCTCAAGGCCCCCTCCAGCCCCCCATGCGAACCAAAGGTCGCAAATCTGGGCCCATCCCGCAACCGTGTCTGGGTTGTGGGTTAGAGGCTTCTCGGATGTTCGCTGGGAAGATATCGTGGGATGCCTCTCGGGGGGACTTTTGGAAGCAGGTTTGAAGCCTCCACGGGGGCGTTGTGAAGCTTGTCGGACCTCTCTCAAGCATCTTTGGGGCCTCTTGGGAGCCTCTTGGAGCCACTTGGGGGCCTCTTGGGGCCTCCTGGGGGTCTCTGGGGGCGGCAAATTCGAAAGGTCGGTTCGCGTTCCCTCTCTTGGGCCCATCTTGGAGCCGTCTTCAGGCCCTCGTCAGGCCCTGTTGGGCCGTCTTGGGGGCCTCTTGGGCCTATCATGCGGCCCTCTTGGGCCGTCTTGGGGGCCTCTTGGGGCGACGTTGGAGGCTTCTTCCTCAGTCTTGGAGTGTCGGCCGCTCGAAAACGTGAGAAGCAACAAATATTGGAACACACACACAATGAAAATCAATGATTTGGGCGTCTTGGGGCTCTCTTGGAGGTCCTCGCGGAGCGACCTTGGGACGCTCTTGGGCCATCATGGGGCCATCTTGGGCGATCATGGGGCCATCTTGGGCGGCTTGGAGCGCTCTTGGGCCGTCTTGGCGGCTTCTTGCCGTCTCCAGAAGCCTAGGTGAACGCCTCGGGGAAGCGGAAAAAGTTCCGTGACTCCGAAAATGGGCCCCTGGATGCCAAAAAAGGACCCCGCAGCCCAGGGGGTAAATTCGGTTACGGGGGGGGGGGGGGGAGTTTGGGAAAAGTGTGCGACCCTGGGCCGCGGGGCCCCGGACGCCGCTTATATGATATGCATCTACATACACACATACATGCTTACATACATACATGCGTATAAACATGCATTCATTCATTCATACATACATCCACATACATAGCTATACATGTAATCTCGTATTGCCATCAGCTTCGGACACATCCAGCTCATGGCAACTGACCAGCACAACGCCCAAAAACATGTAACACCGCCTCGGGCGAGCTCCAACACTCATATACACTGCCCAGACAGGACTCGTCAAGCATAGCATCTTGCCAACATACAAACCCAACACTGTAACGATACGGTACCAACATTCAACATTGCATGAAGGTCAATCCAAAACACTCTGAAACGAGGCATCTGAAACTAACACGCGATCACAACGTACATTACACATAACCTTACCGACACCGGCATACACATGGAGATCAACCTCATCAAGAGCGAGGACCAGCATGAAAGGGAAGAGGAGAAAAGGAGGGCGGGGTCAGCAAGTTTCCTGAACCAACTCCGGAAAGCACCGTGCACAACCCTATTACTAATCCTCCTCCTCCTCCTCCTCCTCCTCTTCTTTCTCCTCATGCTCCTCCTCCTCCTTCCTCCTGCTGCTCTCCTCCTTCATTCCTTCCTCTCTACTTGCCCTGGTCAGCTTTTCCCTCCCCTCCCCCTTTCTCCTGCCGACTCCCCGCCGACGACCCACCACCCAAGTTCGGAGTGCGCCGTCTGCGCCTGCGCCAACCGATCCTGGCCAGGGCCAAGATCGGCGTATGCCTGTGGTTGGCGCCCTTCGGCCCCCCTCTCCCCCCACGAAAAGGATATGGGAGGGGTGGGGGGGCGGAACATGGCCAGCGCGCCACAAAACTCGGAGAAACTGAGGTTGCCGTCGCCGTCGCTGTCAAAATACCGGCGCCAAGCCAGGGTGGTGTTGCCATCACCTCGGCGGGGCGGGGGTGGCAAGGAGGGGAACGGGGGGAGCGGCGGGGGGATGACGGGGATGGGGAGGAGGACAAGGAGGGGAAACGGGAAGGGGGGGACAAAGAAGAGTGCGGGGGAGGAGGAAGACGGGAAAAAATGATTATGGCATGATTGTGGCCGTTCGGTATTTTTGGGTTGCCCGCATCAGACGCTTGGGCACGGGGGGGCAAGAAAAGTGGGGGCAGAAGGGATACAAGAAACAAGCAAATTCCGCTCGCGCCAGATCTGGCACCCCAGTGTTCCCAGCCGCCCTCTCTCATTGAGCTGAATGGTTTTATGCCTGCTGGCGGCGGTGTCCTGGGCGACCTCGATCCTCGAAATGATCCCAAATCGTGATGCGCAATCAAACACTGGGACCGTGAATACGGGGGGATGAGGAAGTGGAGCTTGATGCCTCGGAGGAGCAGGTGGATCAAGGGAAGGCGAAGGAAGGACAAGGAGAAGGACGAAAACGACCAAAGACGAATCGGATTTGGAAAAATTGCCCGCGCTGGGGCGATATGTCAAATGTCAAACCTGAACGACGTAAACAACAGATCTTCGCCTGAACTGCGGTCGGGCTGGGCATTGCTGCGCATATCTGGGCACGTACTGGCCTATAGGTGGCAAGGAGTTTGCACGCCCCCCCGCGGCGTTCCCGACCAGGCCGTGGCCACTTGCCATGGCGCGGAAACGAACAACATGAAAATGAGGATGAGGGTGACGACAATTGGATCGGTGGGCCACGAGTGCCTCGGTGCGCGCGGCAACGTTGCCCGCAACCTACTTTCGCACGATGGCCGTGCAAAATATACTCGGCCAACCCTAATTGCATTTTTGTTGTCGGCGTCGCCGGCGACCGTAATCGCGCCTGAGCAGAGCTGGCGGGCCGCGCCGGGCACAAAACGCCCGCGCTGGCGGAGGGGGAAAGGATGCCCCGCAATCGGTATTCGATGGAGGACGGGCGCGCGCACGCGGACTCAGGCACCAGAGGCCAGTGCGAACTTGAACTAGATCGCGAAGTACTTGATGTCGAAAAGGGGGCAGACAGGTGTGGGCGCTGATGGAATGCATTGGCGGCGGCCTTTCCTGGGGGCGCCCCGCGCCGTCGGGCCCCTCCTGCCGTCGCGCTCTGGGCGGTTTGTCGGCTGCGCCCAGCAAGCCGGACATCGCGCAGTAAGACCCGCAGCGGCAACCTGTTGGCCATTGGCTCGACAACGCGTCAGGTAGCGCATGACACCCCTGGAATGGCAATTGCATCGTTCACCTCCTTCTCGCATGCTCCTACTATGCTGCTCCCCCGCCCCCTCCCCATGCTGTTATCCAACACCCCGCATCGACGCCCTCGGATGAGGACGAATGCGTTGCATGCTGAATCAACGCGCGGTTGCGCGCAGACGCGCGCGCACCAAACGCAATATGAGGAGCGACCGCACCTTCCCCCAGTCCCTCAGGCGTCTATGGCCTCAAGGCATGCAGTGCAGTGGTCAGGCACTCTGTGCCTGTAGTGCACTTAAGCGCGGCGCCAGGTGCGGCGAGTTCGCAAGCTCGAAGCTTGTTGTAAAAGCGGAATGAAGGGGCGGTCCGACGAATGGCCTCGGCGAGCGAGTGCTCTGGGATGTCGCGCTGCCCAATTCCCTGGGCCGACGCGGGCGAGGGGGTCGGGCGAGAGAAAGGGGTGGGGCAGGGCGAGGATGTGCAGGAAGCGGGGACATGAGATGTAATGGCCGAGACGGTCTGGGCAGCCGTCGCATCCGAGCACGCAACTCCTGCGCGGGCCGATGGGGAAGCGATGGCTTGTCCACCATGCCCCCGCCAGCGTTCTGCAAACTGCCCAGCGGATCGCTGGGGGCCTTCATGGACAGAGCTGTGGCGAGTGTCTGCCAGCGCTCGCCGAGATTCGCTGGAAGCTGCACTGCGGGCGTCGCTGCGTGCAGGCGGCGAGCCAGGGCTTCGGCGAACTTGTCAGGGAAGAGGGAGGCGTGGAGGACAGAGGTGAGAGTCCGCTGAACCCTGGCCTTCCGCTGTTCCTGAGCGGCAGACGACAGCTCGGCTTCTGCTGCTCGCTTGGTTTACTGCCAAATCGGCAGCGGGACTTTATGTGGTGGCGTCGCTTCGCCGAGGGCGTGCCAGCATTTTACCATTCCGTAGCTCTTCCAAAAGACAGGAGAGACAGTGGCCCGAATAAGGGCCTGGGCCAGGTCCGCCAGGGGAAGTTCTGGATTCAGTTGGTCGTGCGCACGCTGAAGGGCATGAAAGAGGAGGCGGCCATTGCGGCAGCGTTCCTGTTGCCGCCCGCCAGGCTGCGGCTAGCGACAGCGTCATTAAAGCTGAGGGGGAGGACGGGTGCGACCACGAACGAGCGCCGAGGAGGTCGACGAGGCGCCAGGAGTTGGGGGGGTGCTCTCAGGATCTTGCGCAACGCGCCACGTTCGTGGCGGAAGAACGTGCCAGGGAGCGGCAAGTACTGGGTGAGATAAGAGAGAACGGTTATAACACATGTGCCATATAGTTTGATTGCGACTGCTGGGCCTGGAGCACTGGCGGTGAGCTGTACAACGCGCAGCCAGTATTTGTCGAACGCTGCTCCCCATTGGCCCATTGGAGATCTAATGTGACGTCGGGGCCTATGACTGCTGGGCCTGGAGCACTGGCGGTGAGCTGTACAACGCGCAGCCAGTATCTGTCGAACGCTGCTTCCCATTGGAGATCTAATGTGACGTCGGGGCCTATGAGGACCCCTAAGTAGCGCGCATATCCTGCTTCCTGTACACGCTGCCATTCGGGGGCGAGAATCTCGAGAAGCCTCTGCGCGAGACTCTGAACATCGGGCGTCAGGGGTGCCCAAAAGGGCACAATCACTATCTTCTGGATCTGAGGCTCAAATCCTGAACGTACGAGTCGACGTCGGAACGGGTTCCAAGCCTGGGCACGCCGGGTGAGCTGCATGGCGGCGCGCCGGCTGGCCGCCTGGTCGGGAAGTCATTCGGCCCCGTCCTGCTGGCGCTTGGTGGCAATGGCGATGCGCCTCTCGTAGTCCGCAGTGACTGCAATGTCCATGGTCTTGACGAACTCGTCTCTGTCCGTGAGCTCGGGTCCGTCTTCGGTGATGTGCAAGTGGTAGCTGCCTAACTCCGTCTCAGCCATGAGTATTGCGGCGGTGTCCTTGTCCTTCCTCCAAATCGTCCTGGCGATTGAACGTGATGCGGTGAGCCTCCCATGCTCGGCCCAGCGGCTGAGGTCTCGAAGCGAGGCGCGCTGCTGGAGGTTGCGAGTGAGTCTGGCTGCTTCTTTGATGATGAGCTTGCGCTGCTGCCACGCCGCTGTCGGCGTGAGGTTGGCCTTGGCGATGTAGCTCTTCAGTAAGTCGAAGTGGAGCTGGTAGGAGGGGTCGTAGAAGATGAGGGGGTCGATTGCCTGCCCGTCGATGCGCGATGCCGAGATGTTGCTGAGAGCGAGAGGTGAAGAATGGCATGAACACTGAGTCCTTGATCTGACAGAGCCGCACCGTCCTTGTGCATCTGCAGGTTGGCGTCTACATTGAGGAGGTCGATGCCTGTGAGCGAGACGAAGATGCGGTCGATGGCGGTCGCGGCCTGAGTGTTGGCCGAAAAGTGAGTGGGCAAGTCGTGCGTGATCTCAGCGGGCGTCGTGAAGAGCTGCCGCCATCGAACTTGCTCGCGTTGGCATTGGCCATCTGGAACCATTGGGCGCCAGCGAGCCGCAGGGTCGCGGAAGTTGAAGGACGGGGTGGCGCTCGTGTTGGAGTCGCCCATCGCAAGAAAAAGACGTTGTTGCGGTAGGGTCGCAGCCCATGCTCTGGAAGCCTGCCACGTTTCCTTGACGTTGTCCATGGCTGTCGCATTGAGGTCGAAGTTGTGGACATTCAAGAGCACTGTTTCGAAGCCTGTCGAGAGGTTGGCGATATGCAAGGCGGCTGCGCGTCCATGTATAATCGGCTGTAGGGAAATAGACGTGGTGGAGCGCGTAGGCGTCGGGACCAGAAAGGCCAGACCTCCTTTTCCTCTGCAATGTTCACCTGCCGCATTCTTGCAACCATTGTAGAAGACCTGGTAAGCGTACGGCAACTTCGCGAGGTGGGATTGTAAATCCAGCAGCGAGCCATGAACTTCCTGAAGCACAATGATGGACTGATTGCGCATGAACGGGACGAGTTGACGTATGTTGGCCCACCTTTTTCCTGTCATCGTGGCATAGCAACCCGCGTGTGTTCCATCAGATGTAGTGGCCCTTCGGGTCGGAGGAAGTTTGTGCGAGTTGTAGTAAAGGCAGCATGTGGGGCTGAGGGTGATGGCGGTGAACGGTTTGTTGTGACACTGGATGTATCAGCAAAGGATGAGGTCGTGGAAGCTGACGAAGATGCCGATGTAGAGGTCGAAGAGCTGTCCGAGGGAGAGGAAGTGGAGCTCTGCACGACATCATGCACGAGACAGTCTTGTTCAAGAAGCAGGTGGACATCCTGCAGCGGCGACGTAAATTCTGGAGGGCTCCCCAGTCCCTGAGAAGGTCGGCCTGGTGCGGCATGTTCATGGCGTGATTCATGAAGCAGAGGATCGTGTCTAGCATCCCGTGGATCGTGTCTGTGGGGCTGTGGATTTGTAAAGCTGTATAGTTTGTCTGTGGAGCTGCGGGTCTTGTCTGTGAATGAGTAACTACCAGGCAATCGGGACCGAACCCACCGCGTCCCCCGGCGGTGGTCAGAGTTGGCTGCATCATGTGTCACGGTGTTGCTGTCCTGTAATGCTTTCGGCCGGCGCACAGATTTACGCTTTCGTCGCGCGGCGGTGCAACAAATGTTGCGTTTTGTTGCGCGTCTGGCAATTGCGTACCCAATTATTTGCGATTAGCGCGCCTCCCGCACACATGTGGTGAAGTCGGTTTTGCGGAATGTCTGCAGCGCCGCACGTGTGTCGCCCAAGGTCGGGGCTGACGGTGAAGGCACGTCTCACGCTAGGTTCAAAAGGGTTCGCGCTGCAAGGTTGGCATGACTGACATTACCGGCCGTCCAAACGCAAGACTCGTTTTTTTTCAGGGCGCAGTTCCACGCATTCATAGACCTCCTCCTCCTCCTCCTCCTCCTCCTCCTCCTCCTCCTCCTTCTCGTGCTCTTACTTCATCCTCCCCCTCTTGGGGTAGGACATCTCACCCAGCCCTTCATGCCACTGCACGCTCCTCCATATCCTTGATCAGGGCAGCTCGTGTGGGCATCGTTTCTGGATGGGCTGGTGGGGTTACGCGAAGCGTTTATGATTCTCAGAAAGAAAACCAGCCTGAGAAAACATATTCTGCAAGGTCCCGTTTTCCGAACTGATGGTCTAGGCCTTGACCTGGGACATCTTCAGGAAACTACAGAAAAACAGCCGCAGCAAGAGCAAGCTGCCGAACACAAGAAACGGAAGGAAGGGGAATATACTGAACTACAAATGTAAGAACATCTCCCCAGTCTACAATGGAACCCTCATGTTTTATTCCGAAGCAGTGCTTGCAGTTAGGGGCCGGTTGGGCGCACTGGCGGCTAGTTATGCGGTCGCCATCGCCGCCTTTTCGCCGCCTAGTCGCCGCCCGTCGCCTGCGTCGGTTGGGCTGTCTGGCGGCTGTGTGGTCGCCGTCGCCGCCTCGTCGCCACCTCGTCGCCGCCTCGTCGCCGCCCGTCGCCGCCGTTGGATTGCACCACATACGTTGCGCGAGAGCAAGAATCGCGCCTGCGGCGCGCTTTTCATCGCTCACAAAACAGTTTGCACCACATGAACTGCACAACATAGATTGCACCCCACGTACTGCACAGCCACGTACGCTACACCACATAGATTGCGCAACATGTATTACATAGCATTTATTGCTCAACAAATATTGCGACACATTGATTGCTTCACACAAATTGTACTACATAGGTCGCACCACATAAGAGTGCACAACATAGATGGCAAACCGCATATTGCACAACAGATGTTGCACCACATAGGTTGCACCACATAGATGGCACAACATAGTTTGTACCTCATCGGTTGCACCGTCTTACTGCATCACATAGGTTGAAAAGCATATGTTGCATCACATATGTTGCACATCATGTATTCCTAGAAACACACGATTGGGGTCCACGCTGGCTAACATATGTTAAGGAAACTGAGACCCTGACCTGGAAGCTACCTTTTTCTAAAAATGAGTATGGGTGTACAAGGCAACTGAAGGCGGCCATGCTGCACAATGATCTCTGGACAAACACGAGCCCCCCCCCTTGAACCCTCTGACCCGTCCTCTCCCCTCCCCCCTGCCTCCACTCCTACCGCATGCATACCCTCTTCACGTATACAGCTCCCCTTCCTGGTTGCGCATCACACGATGGGGTCACTTGGGGGCCCCAGGTCCGCTAAGACACCCGTCGGCAGGCGCTATGGGAAGGGATGGGTGGGAGAGGTGGGATGACAGAGATTGCGCCGGCGCAACCTGGCTTGCGTACTCCCCTCTCCACCTGTCCACTCCCCTGGCGACGCCCAATTCACTCCCCGTCCATCCCCCCTGCTCCCCTTCCTCTCCAGACAAATTGGAAAGAACCGGAGGGAGGCGGGAGGAAGCCACCGTCACCTCCGGGACGAAAACAAACCCCTTGCCAGAGCACCCCCAAAACGCAGGTCCCTGCTGCCAGCTGGGAACCCGCTCCCACCGCCACAACCCGCACCCAGGGCACCCAACTCCGCGCGTCGCGCCCCGCGATGCGCGACGCGCGGGTATCCTCGCGCCCCCGAGAGACCACACTGGAGAGGGGCAGCTCTCTCCTGTCTGGGCCGCGACGCGCGCAGCGCCAGCATCCTCGCGCCCCTGCGGGTGGCCCACCAAGGAAGCCGGAGACACGCGCGGCTGGACCCGCTCGCGGAACATCCGGAGGCCACGCGCTGGACACACATGCGGAAGCCCGGCGTACCCGGCCATAGAAGGCCGAGCGCTGGAAAGACATGTGGCCACATGTCGTATCTTGATCCTCCGAGGCCTCGACCACATACATCCATCCTCCTCCTTCTCATCCTCATCCTCCTACATGATCCCTCCTCCCCCTCCTCCTCCTCCTCCTCCTCCTCCTCCTCCTCCTCCTCCCCCTCCTCCTCCTCCTCCTCATCCCTCGATCCCCCTCTATTGCAGATAACTCTGTCCTATCGCACCCCTAGACGTGTCGGTAGGGCGGCCTGGGCGGTTAGCCTGGGACTTCCCCAGAGCGTATGGTCATGAGGCTCGAAACATAGCAACCACTACGGGGACGGAAGGGGAGAGTTTTTCAAAATGGGTTCCCGCCTGAGGCGCCGCGCACACTCGTCTTAAATCCGCCGATCCGGCGTGTGAGTTTCAAGGAGTCTCAGCTACAGCCTCGAGGCTGAGCTTCAGCCTCTGGGGGGGTCGCCGGGGTGGCTCTGCCGGGGAAGGGGGGGTGGGGGGGGGGGGGGGGGTGCGAGTTTCCGGCGAACCCCGGGGCCGCTCCGGGGGAGTGGAAGATAGGGGGGGGGGGGGCGCCATGCTCCGCTTTTTCCGGCGCTTTGGAGGAGGGGGGGGGCCCAAGAGACCCCCAAGGGGTTCCAAGAGGGCCCCGAGTCGCCGAAAAATCGCTCCAAGACGCCCGAGATGGCCTCCAGACGGCCCAAGGTGTCTCCAAGACGCCCCAAGAAGCTTCCAAGAGGCCTCCCAAGAGGGCCCCAAGAGGCCAGAATCGTTGATTTTCATTGGTTTTCTCAGGGTTTTTAGCGTTCTTGCCTTTTCGGGCGTCCGACGCTCGAAGACGGCCCAAGAGGCCCCCAAGTCCGTCCCAAGACGGCCCACGATGCTTCCAACACGGCCCAAGAGAGCCCCAAGACGGCCCAAGAGGGCCCCAAGACGGCCCAAGAGGGCCTCTGGACAGCCCAAGAAGGCCCCAAGAGAGCCCCAAGAGGGGCCCAAGAGGGGGACCACGAACCGAAAGAACCGAGCTTTCCGCCCCAAGAGGCCCCCAGGAGGCCCCAAGAGACCCCCAAGGGGCCCCAAGAAGCCCACAAGAGGCCCAAAAGAGGTTCCAAGAGGCCCCAAAACAGCTCCCCAGAGGCCTCCAGACTGCCTCCGGCAGGCCCCCGGTTTCTTCCGCGGCACCGCCCAGGGCGCCACCGGCAGGATGTCCTCCGTCTCATCGTTTTCCTTCAAGTTATCGCCTCTTCCTCATTCTCCTCCTCCTCCTCTGCGACCTCACTCCTATCCCTCAACGATCGCGTCACCGAGTGCCTCTTCTTTGAAACATCCTCGCTCTTCAAACGCACATCCATACACACATGCATACATACCTACATTTAAACACATTTGCATACATAGAAAAACAATCTTCCAGACATACATACTTACATTCACACACATACACACATATTATCATACACACATACAAACATACATACAAACTAAATACATACATACGCGCACAAGCATACATACATACATACGTACCTACACACAGGCACACATGATCAATGCATGCATACATGCATGCACGCGTACATACACACACATATATCGTGAAACTCACCGCGTGCTCGAAACTTGAGAGAGACCGCGGGAAGTCGAGAGAAGCCGCGGAACGAGGCCTCTACTACTACTACCACTACTACCACAACCACTACTACTACTACTACTACCACTACTACTACTACTACTACTACTACTACTGCTACTACTACTACTACTACTACTACTACTAATACTACTACTAGTACTACAGGAGCGTTTCCCAACTAGTATGTGTGTGTGGGTGATGCTGTGTGCGCATGTCTGCGGCGCAGGTTAAGTGGTGTGACTGTGTGTGTGCGTTTGAGTGTGCGCCCATAATTTCTGCGTCTGGAGAATAACCCCGAGCGACCCGGATCGGCGGCACTGGCCGAAGGCCACTACAATACTTGGACCAGTTACACGGATGGGCGGTGCCTCCTTTTCCACGTGAGGCTCTCGCCTGGGCGCCACGCGAATTCGTCGTAAAAGCTTGCACCAGTCACACAGATCGAGGGTGGCTCCTTTTCCAAATGGGGCTCTCGCCTGTGCGCCGCGCAAATTCGTCTTAAACGTTTCTCAACGTTTTTCAAGAACTGCAAGAATGGAGGTCGGTTCCCGTTTGGACTGGGTCTCTCGCTTGAGACCTCTCCAGCTTAAACGACCATAAGGTTGAACTTAAGTAGCAATTGCACGGGTGGAGGGCGGTTCCTTTTCAAACTGGGGCGCTCGCTGTCGACTTTCTCGAAGTTGGCCGCCATAAGCGTAAATGTGCCCACTAGTTGCGTAGGACCAGTTCTTTTCGAAAGCTCAAAATGTCAAGACAGGGCCCTTCTTGGACGCATCGCTCAATTGTGTCATCATAGCTTCTCTAGTCCTCTAAACTCACTAAGACGATGCAAGGCACTACATGTTCCATACGAGGTCCTCGCCCGAATGGCAAGCACATTGGGTACTCGCCCTTCAAGGGATGCTCCTCGTGGTGATGATGAGTACGTGCAGGGATTCATGTTGAGCGGATTTGGGACGGGAGGGTTTATAGCAGCATTATTGATGCATCTTGTGATTACTCTGATCCTCCTCCTCCTCCTTCCTTCCTCCCTGTCGTCTGCCCTCCCTCCTCCCTCTCCTCAGTCCGTCCCCCTCCTCCTCCTCCTCCTCCTCCTCCTCCTCCTCCTCCTCCTCCTCCTCCTCCTCCTCCCCCCCTCCTCCTCCTCCTCCCCCTCCTCCCCCCCCTCCTCCTCCTCCCCCCTCCTCCTCCTCCCTCCCTCCTCTCGCCCTCCCCCTCTCGAGCTCCACTTGAAACGCCACGGCTCCTTCCGCGGCAGGAGCCGCAGCCGCTCGCGAGGGTCCAGGCTCGCCAGGGGCCGCAAAGACCCGAGCTTCACGTGCGGCTCCTCCCCGTGCGAAGGGCCAGCATTCCCACGGGGGACCCCGTCACCGCCCTCCCTCGGCCTCCCTCCCCTCTCCCTCGGCCCTCCCTCAGCCCCTCCCCTCTCCCTCCCTCCCCTCTCCCTCCCCTCTCCCTCATCCCTCCCTCCCCTCTCCCTCCCTCTCCCTCTCCCTCTCCCTCGGCCCTCCCTCAGCCCTCCCTCCCCTCCTCCCTCCTCTCCCTCGCCCACGCCGGACCTGACTCTACTGCTCCTAGAGCGGCGCGTTTTCACTCTGCCGCAGCACGGATCCGAGAGGTCGCTGAGCATAGGCGGCTCAGAGAGCCATCAGACCTGGAAGTTTTGGATGACACGCATAGCACTGCCATGGCCAGCGCACGTTCTTTCGTCCTAGAGATTTCATCCACTCCCGTCGCAACTCCTCCGCCTCCTCCCTCTCCCGCCCTGCCCCAAGCCATTCTCGACGGCATAATTTCGAACGGTGCGGATGCGCTGAGAAGGCGGCCACAGAGAGAGAGAGATAGTAAAGAAGCTCGAAGGCGACCAATTGCCAACCTTAACTTGTCTGGACCACCGGCCGAGCCCCCGCCCGCATGATGCCCCGATGGACAGAGTGGAACAGGCTGCCTTGAACAGACTGCTGTCAACGGATCCTGGCACGAGTTTATGTCGTACAAGACTAAAGGGATAGTGGTCCATGGATTGGGAAGACGGCGTGGTGTTGCTATTGGGTCTGAAATCGCATTCTTTTTACTCCGTGGTCACTGCGCGTCACTATGGCGCTACTGGGTCAGAATACTGATTGTGTTGCCAGTAGGTCGTTATCCCATACTGCTGTCCATATTGCAAACTGGTTCATCCCTGGCCGACGGGGACTACATTGGCATTTTGCTTCTTTGCTTATTACTGATATGTGACTAGTTGTTGATTACACTGTGTGGCAATATTGCTTATTTGCCATCTCATCGCCTATGATATACTATACATATTGCTACTCTGCTTGACCCCTGCCCGACGGGGACAACATGCACGAGACAGGCGCGCCCTCGCACCGCCTGCCCTGCCTCCCCTGGGGAGTATCCCTGCCCTCCGCCTCCTCCTCTTCCTCCTCCTCCCCCTCCTCCCCCCTCCCTCCTCCCCCCTCCCTCCTCCCTCCTCCCTCCTTCCTCCACCCATCCGCCTCCCCACTCCGCCTTACACCAAACCATCTTAGACAGCCTGGCATCGAATCGTGCTGAGGCTTTGAGGGCAGCTCGATGCTTCCCCTCGTCAACTTGAACGTGTTCGGATCCTCGGCAGTGCTCTACCCGCGTGATGACACGACGGACAGACTCGGTCAGGCTGATGTGTTCCTTGCACGGCACCTTCTCATCGTGCCAGGTCATAGGGAAGGAGCGGGGGGGAGATCAGGATCAGGGAGGAGACAGAGCTTCTGGCCAAAGTTAATGTTTCCATATGCGCATGGCTATTTCCTCCCCCCGCGTCGGGGACTACATGTACGAGACAGGCGCGCCCTTGCACCGCCTGCTACCAGCCTGGGGGAGGAGAGGATTCGGGATGGGCTTGCGGATATGAGCGGTGATTTACGCCCCCCCCCCCCCCCCCGAGGCGAGGACGTCCAGAGCCCCCTGGCCCAAGGATCTCACGTCTCCAGGCTCTCGCGGGCGACTCGGTCTCCATGCCGTCTCCGCGTCGCGCACGCCCCCGCACCGCGCAACTGTCGTTCGCGGACGCCCGAGACCCGACTCCCCCCTCGCCGCTCCCGTCCCCAATCCTCCCCGCCCTCGCGACGCCCTCCACCCCCCCCCCTGGAGCCCTCCGCTCCAACCCGCCCCCCCCCCCTCTCCAGAAAAGGGGGGGCTGGGAGGAGGAGGGAGAGGGCAGGGGGGGAGGGAAGGCGGGGAAGCACGAGAGGGCAGGAGGAGAGGGATAGGGGGGAGGAGAAGAGCAGAAGGTAGGGAGGAGGAGGAGGAGGAAGAGGAGGAGGAGGAGGAGGAGGAGGAGGAGGAGGAGGAGGACCCGTATAAACCCAAGACTCCGCAACGATGTTGAAATAGACCCTTCAAGATCCCTCTTCATAGGCCCCTACATGGGGTCATTTCCACTAAGGGCATTGCCTCGTTGAGTGACAACCGCGCGAACATCTTGAAGTGCACCAGAACACCATGAGCAAGATTTCCACGCCATGAACTAACCTGGCCATCACGTCTTGGCAATCCAGAATCGTGCAGAACACAAGTCCTGGGACTTCAACACAGCGAATCAACTGATTTGTACGCCCTGACAATCCTGAGTCGTTCCAAAAACACCATTGCTGGTACATTGTCCATGAGAACCAGTGACACTCTTGCAACTGTTTAAAACTACTGTGCGCGGCGATCTGGCGAGAGACACATCTTGAAACTGAACCGCCCTCAAAATGTCAAACTGTTGCAAACGTTCAAAACGAATGCGCGCGGCGCTAATGCGAAAACCACATTTTGAAAACGGCCCGTTCTCAATCCAAACTCTGGCAATGTGTGTTTCGACGAATGTGCGCCGCGCTGGGGCGAGAGCCACACATTGAAAACCACCCACCCTCAACGCGTGAAACGATTGCAAATGTTTAAAATGAATGCGCGCGGCGCTAAGGCGAGAACCACACTTTGAAGACCACCAGCCCTCTATCCGTGAGGGTCTTGCATCTGTTTAAACAGAATGTGCGCGGCGCTGAGGCGAGAGCCACCTTTTGAAAAGCACCCGCCCTCAATGCGTCAAGCTGTTGCAAATGTTTATCACGAGTGTGCGCGGTGCTAAAGCGAGAGACACATTTGGAAAAACCGCCAACCCTCAATCCGTGCAATTCTAACCCTTGCGAATGTCTTAAGCGAATCTGCGCGGCGCTAAGGCGAGAACCACACATTTGAAAAAGAACCACCCTCTATCCGTGAAGCACTTGCAAGCTCTTAGAACGAAAGTGCACGGCGCTGAGGCGAGAGACGCATTTTGAATACGACCCGCCCTCAATCCGTGAAACTCTTGCAAAGTTTGTATGCTAATATGCGCGGCGCGAAGGCAAGACCTACATTTTGAAAGCGACCCGCCCTCAATCCATGAAGCTCTTGTAAAACGAATGCGCGCGGCGCGAATGCGAGAGCGACATTTTGAAAACGACCCGCCCTCCATCTGTGAAGCTGTTGTCAATATGAAGCACCTGGGTCATCAGTGGTGAGGAGGACGCTGGCGAAACGCCCGGCCCGCCCTTTCGACTGGCCTCGGGTTGCGACAGGGCGGAGCTATCTATAAGGGACGAGGAGGAGGACAAGGAGGAGGAGAAGGAGGAGGAGGAGGAGGAAAAGGAGGAAACAGAGGGAAAGAAGGAGAAAGAGGAGGAGGAGGAAGAGGAGGAGGAGGAGGAGGAGGAGGAGGAGATCGAGATCGAGGAGGAGGGGGAGGAGAAGGAGGAGGAGGAGGAGGAGGAGGAGGAAGAGAGGGCAGGGAGGAGAAGGGAGAGAGGAGGGGAGGAGCGGGCAGGGAGGAAGAGGAGGAGGGAGAGGCGAGGGGAGGGGAGCAGGGCTCCTAAACACCCTGTGGGACTTCGACGTGGCCATTTTTTGCTACCATTAGAACCCTCGAGTTACTCGGCAACAGTCTAGAACCACAATCGCACATGATTCCTGAGAGCACTCTTGGGGGCAAGCAGTGCGACCCCGCGCTGGCCATGAGACCCCCCCCTGGGGCCCCCACTCGGGAAGGGCAAGACGAAGGGGAGGTGGGCGAGTCGGGAGGATCACAGATCATGCGCCACTTGTCCGATATGCTGGCCGCGATCAAACATGCCAGGCGGAAGTCTCTATTTCTCCTCACTGCGCGTGGCTGACTTATGGTGTAGTCGCGCAATCATCCTCGGAGAGTGGCGGCAGCGACCGCTGGCATAGCACTGAACGGTGGAAGCACTGGTGGAAGAATTGTTCTGGGGGAACAAAGAGATCCGCCACCGGGCCCTTGAAGCACGAGTTGGAATGTCCTCAGGTCCTTGGCCTTATCCCTTGAGCCTTCGTCCTCGACCCTGAACATTCTTGAAAGGGCCCGGACCCGCAATTGCCAAATCCGCTGGGGCGCGTCGCGTGGCACCTGGGGGTAGTCGCGTCCTGCCGCGGGACCCTTTCGGCCCAACCAAGGCCCCAAAATGGACCGAGAGGGCCCGACAGGTCCCCAAGACGGCCTGAGAGGGCCCCGAGTCGTCGAAAGATCGCCCCAAAGCGCCGAGAAGAGTGCCCAAGACGCCCCCCCGACGCCCCCAGAGGCCCCCCAAGCAATGCTTGCACTTAGGGGCTCTTACTTCTGCACTGAGGAACTGGCCCGGTCGGCTGGTCTAGCAGCCGTGCCCGCCGTCGCCGCCCCGTCGCCGTCTCGTCGCCACCTGTCGTCTGGGCCCCGGTTGGCCGGTCTGGCGTCTCCGTGCTGGCCGTCGCCGCCCCGTCGCCGCCTCGTCGTCGCCCGTCGTGTGGGCCAGTTGGCCCAATCTGGCGGCTCCGTGCCGGCCGTCGCCGCGCCTTCGCCGCCTCGTCGCCACCCGTCGCCGTAGTTGGATTGCACCGAGTAGACTGCACGAAAAAATCGCGCCTGCGGCACCATTTTTAATCGCTCACAACATAAGTTGCACCACATGTCTTCTCCTTCCTTTCAGAAGACTGGGCTCCACCACCTCACCGAAGTCGTACTTATCCGTCGGGCTTCGCGTACTGCAACGTGCATATGATTATACCTCCTCGTTCATTTCCCACATGCAATCATATCATCCCAGCTAGCCCAGTATCCGCCATCTCTCGCCATCCCTGTCAAATGACACCATGCGCAAAACTTCTTCATCTTCGCAAGGAACTTTCCAATAACCCCTTCGAACCAAATCAAAGTGCATACGAGCGCTCATGTCATAATCACACCAAACATACTACGTTTGCAATCATGTCAACATAGAAACATTGAGCACTCATGATTTTGCACCAACAAAAATGCAAAGTGTCTGCCCGCGCGCATTTGCTGAAACCATCGGACAATATGTCTTTTTACAGTCTCGTTGGAAACCTTCCATCTAATCTCACCATGCGGTGCAGCCGCATTGATCTATACTCGAATCACAAGACCTGCGAAGCATATCCTGCAGCAGGTGCTTCTTCTGCGCGGCGCGGGGCCTGCGCGCGGGGGCCCATCGGGTCTCCAGGCGTTGCCTCATGGAGGTTTTGCCAGCCAAGTGGCGGGTGGGTGGGTGGGATGCTTTCACGAGCATCGGATATGGTTACGCGCGGTGCTGTGTAATCGCACCACATAGATTGCACCCTACATATTGCACACCACATCATGAACAACTACCTATATCGCACCATGTATATTGCAAGACGTAGAGTGCACCACATCTATATATATATATATATATATATATATATATATTGCACAGCATAGATGGCACAATGACATACGTAGGGTGCAGAACATGCATTGCACAACATCGACCGCACCTCATACATTGCACCGCACAGGTTGCACATACAAATTGCACCACCACACACGTTGCACCATACAGGTTGTATCATGTATGTTGTCGCATAATTTCTAAACCAAAAATATAACGAAAACTACGTGTACGCTCATGCAAATGGTTATGAGTATATGTGTATATGTATATATATGTATAGATATGTGTCTATATATAATTTACGAACATGTGCATACACATGTTTATAACACGCACATGCATACATTCATCTGTATATACATCTATATGTGTGTGCGTGTGTATGTGTATGTACGTATGTGTATATGTATATGGATGGATTACAAGCCGTCGATTGCACCGCATATATTTCACTACGTATACTGCACATCATAGATCACACCACCTATGCCGCACACCATACCTCGTACAACCTAGATTGCTAGGAAAACACTGCTTGGGGTCCACGCTGCTTAACATTGATGTTCCCTGGATGTTTGAATGTTTGAATGATTGTGGCTTTCTCGCCTTTTCGGCTTCCCGACGCTCCAGAATGGCTTAAGAGGCCCCAGAGATGGCCCCAAGACGGCCCGAGAGGCCTGCAAGAGAGCTCCAGAGGGCCCCAACACCCAAGAGGCCTCCAAGACGGCCCAAGAGGCCCCCAAGACGGCTCCAAGAGGAGGTCCAGACGGGAGATGAGCCCTCGGGCTCGAAAGGCTCCCAGGAGGCCCCACGAGGCCCCAAAGAGGCCCCAAGAGGCTCCAAGAGGCTCCAAGAGGCTCCAAGAGGCCCCAAGAGGCCCCCAAGAGGCCCCCAAGAGGCTCCAAAGCCTCAAAACTGCCCCCACGAGGCCCCCAAACTGTCCCCAGGAGGCCCCCGCGAGCGCTCCGAGGAGACCCCAAGAATCATCCCTGAGGACTCTGACCCACAATCCAAGCACGGTGGTGGGATAGGCCAAACGAAAGCAATTAGATATCCATACCGCTGCTCCGTGAATCTCTTCTGTGCTGCGTTCCGACAAGCATTTCGAGACGAATCCAGCCGTGGCGACGAGGGCCTCCCAAGAGACCCAAGAAGGCGCAAACGAGGGAAGGGTAACGGTACGGTGGGGGCGTTGGATAAGGAACCGTTGGATAAAGACCTCAGGGTCTGGAAGCCGGTGGAAGCATAAATTGAGGCTTGAACGTGGATATCACCGCCGCCCTCATCAGATACGGAATCCTCCAGAGTCTAAAGCCTCCTGGGCTCATTCCTTAACGAACGCCCCCCCGTATCAGTATCTCTCCTCCCCAAATGCTCGGCGAACAAATGCGCAACTGTGCCCGTGCGCCCTCGATTCGCGAGCTGCCGCTTCCCCTGCGCCCCGCCAAATTAACGAGGTACTGCTGCTGGCTGCCGTGGACGGTCCCGGGGCGCGCCACCCTGGCCCAGCCCACGAAGCTGCGGGCGGAGAAGCCAAAGTTCCTGATGGCGTAGACGCCTCCACAGGGCCAGCAGGTGTCCTCCTCCTCCTCCTCCTCCTCCTCCTCCTCCTCCTCCTCCTCCTCCTCCTTCTGCTCCTCCAAATTCTGCTCCTCCTCCCCCTCTGCTCCTCCTCCCTGCCCCCCTCACTCCTCCTCCCCCTCTGCCTCCTCCTCCTCCTCCTCCTACTCCTCCTCCTCCTCCCCCTCCTCCTCCTCCTGCTCCTCCTCCTCCTCCTCCCTCCTCCCTCCTCCTCCTCCTCCTCCTCCTCCCCCTCCTCCTCCTCCTCCTCCTCCCTCCTCCCTCCTCCTCCTCCTCCTCCTCCTCCTCTCTTCCTCCTCGTCCTCCTCCTCCTCCTCCTCCTCCTCCTCCCTCCCTCCTCCTCCGTCTCCTCCTCTCTTCAAAAACCAGCCCCTGGATTTCTTCTTTCGCGGGTTGTGGCCAGCATTTTGACAGGAATCCAGCCGCAGCGGTGAGGGGCCCGCGGGAGTTTCAAAAAGCGCCAAATCTGAAAGTTCGAACATCGAAGCTCGATCCTCGTCTTCGCCCTCCTCCCCTCCTCCTCCTCCTCCTCCTCCTCCTCCTCCTCCCCCTCATCCTCCAGCTCCTCTCCTCCTCCTCCTCCTCCTCCGCCTCCTCCTCCTCCTCCTCCTCCCCCTCCTCCTCCTCCTCCCCCTCCTCCTCATCCCCTTCTTCCTCGTCCTCCTCCTCCACATGCTCCTCCTCCGCCGTCCCGCTCGTCGCACCCCCTGACGTGTCGGTAGAGCGGGCCAGGCGTTTCGCCCGAGACTTCATCATCATGTATGACCCTGGAGCCCGAAACCTGCAACAGCTTCACGGATGGAGGGCGGGCCGTTTTCAAAATTGGCGATCGCCTGGGCACCGCGCACATTCGTCTTGAGAGGTTGCACTAAGGCATCACGGATGGGAGGCGGGCCGTTTTCAAAATGTGGCTCTCGCCTAGATGCCGCGCACATTCGTCTTTCAGTCTGCAACAGCTTCATGGACGGTGGGCGAATCCTTTTTCAAAATGTGGTTCTCGCCTCAGCGCCGCGCACATTCGTCTTCAAACTTCGCAACAGCGCCAAGAATGTAGGGCGGTTTCTTTTCTACTTGTGGCTCTGGCCTTAGCGCCGCGCACATATCACGCCGTTACCACAAGAAAGAACTGCATATCAGAAAAAAAACCGGCGGCGAGACAAATATACAGAATCACTCACTGACATGAGCGGAAAAACGGCGGCGGGGCGATCCAATCCGAACATATGAGTCGGGACTCCCATGGAAAAAGCTCGCGGCGGGAAAATTCTAAATCAGTGGAAATTTTAAATAGTGGGCAACATGTTTCAAAATCAGTATATAAAATATCAATGAAATATAATCACTGCTGGCACTCTTTCCTGGAACCTATAATCAAAAAACAAATCTCACTTGAACGGTCAAACACAACAACAAAATATACATGAAATCGCCAACGCCCCACCCAGAAAATGTTGACAACGAACCGGGTTTACCAAATGAATATCTGCGTAAATTTCAACAAACCACGCAAACAAGAATCATCTTTGCTTACCTCCTCCCTTCCGTTTACCTTTCCCGGCGTCGGCGGGCGGCGGGCGGCGTCGTCGGCGGGCTGGATCGTCTTTCACTATAAAAAAACCACAGCGGGGGACAGCGGGCAAACTGGCGGCGGGCCCGCTGCCCAGAATCAGTTCAAAATGGCGGCGGCGGGGGGGCGCGACATCCATCCAGTGCTGCAGTGAGCACCGAAGAAACCGGAGTGATGCGCACATTCGTCTTGAAAGTTTCAACGGTTTGAAAGAGTCGCATGGTCGAAGTCCCAGGAGCTGCGTCTGGCATAATTTTGCACTGTCAGGGCGCAACAGTCACATGTATTCGCGGCGCTCAAATCCCATGAATGGTGTTCGGGAACGATGTGACCTGATCTAGGATTGTCAGGACGCAACAGTCACGTTGATTAGCGGCGCTGAAGTCCCAGGAATTATGACGTGTTGGTACGATTGAAGAATCTCGGACGGCTGTCTTCCAATGGGGCACTTCCCGCAATGAACATGAATTCTTCGAGGGACCTATGAGGAGGGAACTCGGAGGGAGGGTCTACTGCAGCATCGTTGATGCGTCTTGTGTTCACGCTGTTCTTCCTCCTCCTCCTCCTCCTCCTCTTCCTGCTCCTCCTCCTCAAATAAAAAAAAACAACACCCTGGACTCCTTTCGTGGGTTCGGGCAAAAATCTTGAATGGAATCCAGCCGCGGCGACGAGGAGCCCGCCGGAGTTCCAAAAAGCGCCAACCCTCGAAGTTCGAACCTCGAAGTGTCTCCTCCTTCTCCTCCTCCCTGGCACCCTCCCCTGGGGCGTCGAGCCTATCAGAGTGGCCGTGCGGCCGAGGCCCGAGCGGCAGTGCACGGCGAAGCTGCCGCCGACGGCCTTCACGACCTTGCACGGCCCAGCGCAAGGAAGATACAAATAATAAACCTGAAGCACGCCAGCTACGCGCCAATCAAGCGCAACGATAGGGGGCACCGGCTCAGGGCGGGAAGCATTGACCTGGAACCGGAGATACATCGCTGACAGATCGGCGATCGGCCCCCGAGGGCGAAACCGCACATTCCTGGGTGGGGTGGGTTATCGAGCCCCTGTCGGCGATGGATCAGCGATTGGAAGTCGATGCGTCACCCGGCCCCATCCCGCCTGCCCGCCGGCCCCGGTCTCCCGCCTGCACGTTCGTCGCCATTTGCCTACTCTCCCCGCGTGCACCCCCCCTTGCCGGACAGCGCAGCCTGCCCAGAGCCAGAGCCAGAGCCAGCGGCGCGACTTGGAGATCCCTTCCCATCAATTAAGAAGCCGCGGGTTCGTCTTGTGGGTCAGGGCGGAAGTCGTAGGAACGGGCCCCCCAAAAAGGGCTCGGTTTCTTGCGCCGCCTATCCCTCTCCTTCGTTGCAACGCCAGCTGTCCCCTCTTCTTCCTCCTCCTCCTCCTCCTCCTCCCCCGTCTCCTCCTCCTCCTCCTCCTCCTCCCCCGTCTCCTCCTCCTCCTCCTCCTCCTCCTCCTCCTCCTCCTCCTCCTCCTCCTCCTCATCATCATCATCATCATCATCATCATCATCATCATCCCGTTTCCTCCTCCTCCTCCTCCTCCTCTGCCTCCTTCCTGTTCTCCTTCTCCTCCTCCTCCTCCTCATGCCCCCCTGGACGCAGCAAATCCGCGCAACGATTCCCAGGAGGGTGGAGGGATGACGAACGAGGACTAGGACGAGGACGACGGGGAAAGCCACCCGTGTAGGGCGTCTTGGCAGGGCGGCGTGCTGGAGAGCGTTCCGCCCAGGCGCGCACGCACGCACGCACGCACACACGCACGCACGCACGCACACAAACGCGCACACATGCACACACACACACACACGTTTAAGTCAGCGGCGCAGAGGGTCCGCGGGCAGCAGATGGAAGTTCGAATTGCGATCGAGCAATATCGAAGGCGCAGCGTACTAAGCGTCGCACGCTGCAATATACAAGCGATGGGTGTGTTAGAAGAGCTGTAAGTCCAAACGAAACATGCAGCGGCCAGAAAACGAGAAGATAGTACCCAACTCAAAGCGAACTGAAGCGCGACAGCTAGGAGCGAATTGCGGCCACTGAATCACCAGAGCGGTATTAGGTGTGGCCGACCCAGAGGTCCTGCGAGGCAGACTGGTAGGGTTTTGACCTACAGGCCAGCAGCGCAAAGCGACCGCGATGGTGGGTGACGTAGGGCCAACGAGGCGCCGCAACGCCCGCCACAGCGTACCCAAAGGAAAGCTGCGTCATCAGACACGCCCAATACTTCAAGCACCGGAAATGAGGTGCATGAGTAACAAGCCTTGCGCACACACATACACCTTCACACATACAGTACACACGCACACACACACACACACACACACACACACACACACACACGCACACACACACACACACACACACACGCACACACACACACACACGCACACGCGCACACATACACACACACACACACACACACGCACGCACGCACGCACGCACGCACGCACGCACGCACGCACGCACGCACGCACGCACGCACCCACACACACACACACACAAACACACACACACACACACTATTTGGCGTCGCGGCTCCGCGCGCAGCGACAGGGCGTCCAAGATCGGAGAATAGAACGCGCGCGCGCGCGCGACTAGCGGCGGAGCCCTCAAGCCGCTCCGAGGGAGCAGCGCCGTGGCCAGCCATGGGTCATCTGGGCATGGATGACCAAGGAGGGCAGATGAGATACTCAGCTCCAACTGGCGAGGAAACGGCATGCCAGAGGCGAAGGGGGAACAGCGGAATAGTGATGCCACGGCCAGACGACTGGCAGAAGGGCGGGACAAGGTGGAAGGAGGCCGAAGGCCAGCAGTGGAGGCGAGGACACTGCAAAGGCTGCAGCACAGAGGTCGCAGCGCCAGCAGGCCCGGAGGGTTGCCAGAAAGTCGGCTGAGAATCAGCCCAAGGGGGAGAGACCGCCCGATGGGGACGGCCGCACCCGGAACCAGAGAAAGGTAGGCGCAGAAGACGAGGGACAGGATGGAGGAACACCTGCACAGGAGGACAGCGTGCGCGAACCTGGGTGCTCGCCGAGGCAAGCTGGCCAGGGCGCAAGGAGGCGGCCCGGAACTGCGGCGCGCACGGGGCAGGGCACCCCGTGCGAAGCGGCCAGCCCGCTCACCGCGTCCGTATCGAACCACGGGACCTGCGGGGAGGCCCTGCCGCAGGGTCCAGGGCCACAGAAACACTCCAAGGGGGGTCGCAGGGATCCAGGTCGAGAAAGGCATGCGGCAAGGGGAAGGCCACCTGCGAGCCTCCGCGTGGGCGTGAACATCAGGCCTCCAATATTGACGGCGCCGACGTGGGAGGGTCTCCGCGGGCACCTGGGATGCGGGACGCCTCTGGGGGGGCGCCCCTCCGCCACAAGGGTCCCTGGGCCTGCGCAGAAGGGTTGCTCGTCCGCGTAGGCTGTCTGAGTAAGGGAACCCATGAACTGTTCCAACTCAGTGAGGGAAGATCAGAGGCAGGGAAGCGCTGTCCACCCCTGCGGCGAGATAGTGTCCACAACCTCCAGCCCGACGCAATCACCCGATCGGGTGTGGTGGTGCTCTAGCACTGCAGGGAAATCTGGTTGACCATGCACCGGCGTAGGTACGCAACATCGTCATTGTTAGAAGGTCAAAGGGGCCCGCGGTGGGTCCATCGGGGCAGGGATCAAGCCATGCCGATCGGACGCCTGGGATGTCTCGGGCAGCAGGGGAGCAGGGGGCGCTCGAGGCGCTGGTGGGGAGCCTCCCCTGCAAATGCTGGCGGCAGCAGCGGCGGGCTGAGCGGCGCTGGAGGCCGCGCCACCGGTGGGAGGGGGGGAACGGGGCAGGTGCGGGGCGGGAGGACGCGACGGACGCAGCAGGTGGCGGGGGCCTCATGGCAGGTGGGCGCGCAGGTGGTGCAGGCGGGGGGGGAGACGAGCTGGGGGCGCGGGCCCCGGGCTCGCGCTGAGGGGGCGGCAGCTGGGATGCGCTGGCCGGACACGTGCCGGAAGGCACGAGGGGGCGCCGGCCAGCAGACCGGCGGGGCCCCTATCAGCCCCCGCGACGGCGAGGCGCGCAGGGGTGCCAGTGGCGTCGCCTGTGGGGTTCGCAGGGGCGTCGGGTGCAGGCTGATCGCGTGGGTCAGGCGACGTGCCTGAGCGGGCAGGGGCGCCGACGGACCCTCGCGGCCCGCTGCGCACCCGACGCTGTCTGTGGACAGCCTCCTCGGACGTGGAGTCGGGGGACCTGGCGCGCAGGTAGGCGAAGCGCCGCGACGCGCCGATGCTCCCGACGGGAGTGGGGAACCGAGGCGAAGTGGGGCTGCTCAACGTCGCAGACCCGCCGCGGGTGGCAGACGAGGAGGCAGGGGGAAGAGCGCCAATGGGGCCAGAGGGAGGGGAACGCGCTGCGGCAGGGGTCAGGCGGACAGGTGGCGCAGAGGTCCCCCCCCACACATGGGGAATCTGGAGAGCTGCCAGCTCCTCATGAGAGCAGCCGCTCTGGCGCGCATTTCGTCGCGCGACACGTCCCGCCATCCTTCGAAACGGTCCCGTTCGTGCAAGGCATCGAGGTAGGCGGTCTCGACCAAGTTGGGGTCGGTCTGGTGGATGGGCTTGAAACGCTCGGCAGCGTGGCTGAGGTCCAGATGCAAGGGAACCACATCCTGGCGCGCATGTCAGCGATTCTCCTGATGGTCCGACGGGGAGGCCTGGCTGTTTCTGCAACGCAGCCTCTGCGGAGTTCGGATGCTGGGACATGCGTTGCAGGATGCATCTTCTACCCATAAGCACGCTCGAGGACGGGGCGGAGGCATTCGGGGAGGTGCATTCTGGGGTCGGCGGAATGGCAGCGGGGCCCGTGGAGGACGGCCATCCAAAGCTTGGCTTGGCGAAACCCGAGGTTGAGAAACCCGCGCGTGGCCATGACCAGCTAGCTTGGCTGCGGGTAAGCAGCTGACTGACAGGGAGTAGGGGCCAGCTTGAGGGGCCGGATGGGGTGGGGGGGGGACGCAGCGGCAGCTGCGCCGGCATCGGAGGCGTTGGCCTCAGACGCATGGGGTTCGGGCGGGCGGGGGGTCGAGATCTCAGGGGGCCAGGTGGAGCCCCGGCGGGGCCGTCGTTGGGCGCCAGCAGGTCAGGGTCTCTGGTGGCCCTTGACCTGGAGCGCTGCGGGGCCCGCTGGCCAGAGCCAGCACGTGCGCACAGGGTGAGCGAGACGTGGGAAGGGGAAGGGGGTGGCAAGATGCCCCCGAGGGTAAGGAAGCGGTCAATGAAGAAGACAAGCGTCCACCTGGGTGCAAGGGGGGCGCCGGCGGCCTTGAGGGGGGGTTCATGGGGGGCGGGCCCGCAGAGATCGCGCACGAGGAGCGCCACAGAAGGAAGTGCGGTGCCAAAGTGCCACCGGAGAGACGACCCCACGGGTTGCGAGCCCTGACCATTGCATGTACCTGCTTGCGGAGGGCATCATCAGATATCCTCTGGTTTGCGGGAGGAGCCGAGGCGGGCCGAAGCATGTGTAAGAGGGCGTCGCCCGAAGGGGGCCCAAGGTCAGGGCAGGCAGTGACGGCGTCTGGGAGCATGGCCTGGAGGGCGTCAGAGTCAAGTGCGGCAAGGGCACCCTGGAGGTCGAGGAGCTCGCGGATGCGGGACTCGCGCGGGCGCCACTGGGGAGCCGCAGACACCGCAGGGAGCCGCGGAGGAGCGGCAGGAAGGGGTCCAGGGACACCAATGTCAGCGGTGACCCAGGCGCCAGAGGCAGGGGGGTCACCGGAAGCAGGGCCAGAACCAGCGGCAACATTGCCGGGGCCGTGCCCGCCCTGGGTTGCGCATGCCGCAGCAGGAGCTCCATGGTCGCTGTCCCTGCGCCTGGAGCCTATTCTCATGGCAAGGGAGGCGGGCCGCGCCGCCTCGCGCGCGCGCCGAGGAGGCGCATGGGACGACGATCCGTCGACGCCTGCCGCGCGAGTGGCCAGGAGGGGGCGAGGAAGAGGGCGAGGGCGGGGAGGACAAAGTCGGGGGCAGCGCGGGAACGAGGCGCAGGGGCAGGAAGGGGGGCGGACCGAGGGAGAGGGCCAGAGGGCACGGCGGCGACGCCGGCGTCCTCGAGGGCGAGAAGAATATTACAGATCTCGGGATCGCCACTGGAGGCGCCAAGCAGCACAGGGGTAATGTGGGTGCGGAGGACGCGCAGGACCCTATCATCGGAGTCGTGCGCGCCCCAGACCTCGAGGAACAGAGCCCCCTGGCGTGCGGCGAGCAACGGCTTTCAGGCAGCCCCCCACCGCGGTGCGAAGGTCGGCCAAATTGCCAATCGAAACCGCAGAGAATGCGAGCACGGAGTCGCGGTAGGGCCTCCCGTGCACGTAGCATGTTGCCGCGAGGCCGAGTAGTGCCTCGGTGAAATCGCCTGCGTTGCTGAAATCCCCCAATGGGAGGGCAAAGTCATTAAAATTCCCGTGCCGCTGCCATGGCCAAGAGGCAACGCGCGTGGCCGCGGGGTTGGCCGGCGGGGCATCGCGGTGATGCCCAACGGGGAGAGATGGGTGAAGAAACCGTGCGGCAAGATCGGCGGGTGGGTCATTGATGTAATGGGGGCAGCGAGAGTGGCAGTGGTAAGGAAGCGGGGGGCATGACGCTCCGCAGACAAGGGGGCCTTCCTTGTGAGCTGGCCGCTCTGGCGTAGGCGGGTGGGAAGGGCGAGGCGGCTGGCGACCTTGACGGAGACGGCGTTCGCAGCACAGGGGTCAAGACCGAGGAAACGAAGGGGCGCGAAGTGCTGATCGGGTGTTGCTAGAAACGCCCCTGGCCCAAGGTACCCCCAGCTTCCCGCTCCATTTTGGAGCCCCTGGGGCCCTCTGGGCTTCGTGAGGGGTGCCCTGGAGGCCGTCTGGGCCACCCCGAGAATCCTAGGGGTACCTTGGGCCAAGGGTACCTCTAGCAACGCCCGAGCTGAACCGCGAGGCAGACGTTACCGGCATCGCAGCCAAGCATGGGGTGCAGGTTCTGTGCCAGCTGCGACCCCATCTTCTGGCGTCAAGTGTGGGGGGGGGGGGATGCACGCAGTTGCGTTTGCGCGGGCGCAGCCGGAGGACGCAGGCGAGAAGGGAGAGGCAAGCAGGACTTGAGACCAGTTGGCCGAGCCCGCGCATGACCTCCGCCCAAGTCTCCTGGCAGCTATACCCAAGCGGTGGGGGGGGCGACGCGCGATGGCAAGGAAGGAGCGCGCCTGCTGCGCGGCAAGGGCAGCGCCGCAAAGGTCGACCTTGGGCACCCCTTCGTATTCCGGGGCGTCCTGCATCGCGCCCCGGGGCGGGACCTCTTGAAAGGTGACAGGCCGCGGAGGGTCTTGCGCAGGGAGCTGTGCAAGGAGACCCGCGCGGCCAGCAAACTCTGCAAGGGACCAGAGCTTGGCGGCAGTACTGGCCTGCGCCATGGCCGAGCTTCAGATGATGATGACGACGCCCTTGGCCCTCGCGAGCGCAGCATTGAGCCTCCGCGGGCAGGTTCAGGCCCCCGAAATTGCAGCGCCCGTTGGAGCGCACGCGCACGACGACGACCAGGCCCGGCTCGCCCCCCCGCATCTGGTCGGTCGTCTTGAACCGAACGCTGCGCCATCGGTTTCGCAGGCTGGGGAAAGAGGGCGGTGGAAGGAAGTTGGGAGACTCGGAACGGCGGCGGGGGGCGGGGGGCCCGAGGGATTGAGGGCCAGTCGCAGCAGAAGGCGCGGGCCAGGGCGCGCCAGGCCGCGAGCGGCCTGAGCGCACCGCTGCTCGCGGGCGATCCCGCGGGCGCGGGATAGCTTGAGCAGAACGGCGGCGGACGACGCCACATGATGGGATGGCAGAGCGGTTGGAGGGAAGGGGGCGGGAAGGGGGAGAACGAAGTTGACGAAGAGCGGGAAAATGAAGCAGAGGGGGGAGGGAACGGGCGGAAGAGGAGGGGGAAGCGCATGAGAAGGAGGATGGCGAGGAAGATGGTGGAGCAGAACGGAAACCGAGGAGGATGGAGTGCACGCTGAGAGTGAAGTGCAGCGACGACCTAGCCAGCGCTGCGTGGGCAAACAGGACACGGATCACGAACGCGAAGATGATGAGCTAGTAGGAGGCAGCTCGCTGGAAAGAGCAGGAGCGATGCAAGCAGGAGGAGGAGGAGGAGGAGGAGAAGAAGGATAACGGGCCCTTTTGTCACAGAGGGCCTCCGTTCCTCTGATGTCCCTCCTGTCACAGAGGGGCGAAAGGGTCGCCGTATTCCGGCTTTTGGATTGCCGCCCGCAGGTCGACTTGCTCCACACTGGCCAACATCTGCTCGTCCTTCTGCCTTACGTCGGTGGGGACCTGACCTGGGGATGCACAGCACCCGACGCTCGTGCCGAGATACGGCCAGGACTGGCGGACGGCAGACCTGCCAAGGGGGGAAAGTTCCATGACGCTCTCCCACCAGTCACTGTCGCCCGCAGGGTCGAGAGCCGTTATGGGGGAGCAGCGACACGGATGGGCGAGGGGGGCAGCCTCGTCGGCAGCCGCGCGGCCAATCTGACGGGAAAGGAGGGCGCGAGCGAGCTCAGGGGTTAATAAGCCAGTGACCAAGACGCCGCCCTCCCAGTTAGGGCTGGCCTCGGCGTAGAGCGGGACCTCTGCCACGGCACGGTGCAAGGCGGCGGGATGGCGCGGAAAGAGGAAAGGCCCCGGCAGGTGTGCGTAGAGATGTGTAGGCCAGCCGCCCGCCAGGCCCAGGGAAGGAAGATGGAGATCCCGAGGGCTTGCGGAGCGTCTGAGAGAAGAGCAGCGAGGTCGTCGACGTAGGTGGGGCATCTGTCCCCGGTACACTCCGCCACGCCCTCAATGATAGGGTCGTGCCAGATGTTCCAGCAGAGGGGAGGAGCCGTGCCACCCACGCCGACGGAGCGAAGGAAACGCCTGAGTGGGAGCAGCTACCCAGCACTAACGGACTGGACGTGGCGCTCGCTTACGAGGGCGGAGCGCCCGCGCCGGCACCAGGTGGGGAGGCCCCCGCGGGCCAGCGCGTCTGCTCGAGCTATTGGATGGAGAGGCGCTCGATGGCCCCTTGTTCTGGTCGGCGCAGAGCACCGCGTTGGCCGGGCAGGGGGGCAGGTGTAGAGTGGATTGGCGAAGGTAGAACTCGTCGGTGTCGAGGTCTGAGCCCAGCAGGGCACGCCAGGCTCTGCCCGCCGGAGCGTGGGGGGGGGCAGGCAAGGTGGGAGACCATGAGGGTGCACTCCCTTGATGGCAGCCTGATCGCGGGAGAAGCAATGATCAAGGGAGGGCCCAACCGTTTCGGCGATAGCCGCGCCGAAGAGACGGCGGAGGCAAGATGGAAGCTGAAGGGGTTGGAGGCCCCCGGTGGTCTCAGCGTGGAGAACTCTGGGGATCCAGACGAAGAGGTTGATGGATAAACCGAGAACGCGTTCAAGGGACACGTGATCCTCCCAGGCAGACCACAAGGCCTGCCCCAGGAGACAGACGATGAAACGGCAGCCAATGTGATATGCCTCGTATGGCTCTCCATCCACACCAGGGGGCTGCTGGCCGGCTGCAAAACAAACACACACAGGCACGCACCCGCACACACGCACACTCTAACTCTAACTCTCTCTCTCTCTCTCGCACACACACACACTCTCTCTCTCTCTCTGGCACGCACACACAAAACACACACAAACTCTCTCTCTCTCTCACACACACACACGCGCGCACGCGCGCGCACGCACGCACGCACGCACCCACCCACACATAAACATGCACACACACACACACACACTTTTTTCGTCGGCTGCCTGTTGGTGTGAACGCAGCGAGTGCTAGGGCGGGGACACGCCTAATTCAATCACCGCCTGGCGTTGCAGATGGGGGTTCAGGACGTGACTGACGCATGACACACACACACAAACTTTGCGGTCGCCGCCCAAGCGCTCAAAGAGTCCAATCCAAACTGAGCGAAGCTACCCAGGATCGACCCTGGAAAGCCGGCAAGTGCAAGGGGGGGAAGCGCTGGCCCCTCACGGTGCAGTGGCGGGGGCCGGCGGCGAGCAAGCTGCGGCGGGGAGCAGCGGGCGGGGAGCGGCGGGCGGGGGTCGGCGCCGAAGGGGCGGTGGCGGGGGGCGGGCCAGCAGCGCCAGCGTCCGGGCCGGCAGGGGCGCGTCCCAGTGGACACGTGCGGGGGCGAACGGCGACAGGGTGCCGAGGAGCAGCAGCCGCCGCTCGGGAGAGTCGTGCCGTGCGGGGCCCTGAGATGGCTCACGTCAGAAACTGGGACAGGAAACAGCCACTCGCCGCGGTGAGGCGTCGCGAGTGTCCCAGTGGAGCAGGAAGAGGCCTCAGCGCAGGGTGCCCTTGAAGCCGGGGCACGCCATCGAGCCTCATGGTGGCGTGAAGCACGGGCGAAAAGAAGGCAGGACACACACACACACACACTCTGTTTGGCGCCGCGGACTCGCGCGCAGCGACGAGGCGTCGAAGGCCAAAAGGCAAGAGAGCATAGCGGCGGACGCGCGCGTCTGGGACCTCGGAAGAAGGGGCAGGAACACACGCACACACACATACACACACGCACACACGCACACATTCACGCACGCATGTCTTTTCCTCTGGCGCGCTGGGGAGAGTCTAAATCGGCGGGCAGTGGGATATACGCATTCGCAGAGGATTGAATTCCTTGCCGTGGAAGAACGATTCTGCACATATACGCGACACACACACACACACGACAACCCAAGCAGAACGAATATATTTAGGCATGCCTACCCCGTTTCACGAGGCGGCGCCCGACTCGCATTCCCCCTGGCGACCTCCAGAAATTGCAGCAGCACGTCCACAGAAGGACAACCACCATCCTCGCAGCAGCATTCAAGCATCTATGTAAAAAGTGCGGGCCGTCCAAACCCACTCATGACAAACAGGCTGACAGTCACACTCCTCCCCATGTCGCCGCACCGCCATCTTACTCATCATTGCTCGCAGCTCTCATTATGTAACCAAGCATTCGTGTTATATGAGCAGCTTGTGCCTGGCACGAGGGGAAGTGCCTTACACTAAAGGGAATTACATGGTGATACAACATACGCCTAAGATGAAGACGACGACGAAGACCACGAAATTGACGACGACGAAGACGACGACGACAACGACGACGACGACAACGACGACAACGACGACAACGACAACGACTACGACTACGACTACGACGGCGGCGGCGACGGCGACGAGCTAAAGTTTCGAACAAAGTGCCGCACAACAGCAACTTAACGGGAGTCGATGCCACGGCCATGCGCTCTCAGCGTATTGCGGTCTTGAACCAACTCATACACAGCGTGAACACACGACAGCCTCTGCAGATTTCCCACTCGCAGATAGAACACTGCACCGCGGCTGCGAAACCAGATGCTTCGATCCATTGCAAGACAAACTGAAGGACAAGGCAAGACAGCCATTCCGTCAGCCTTCCCTGTCGCCAGCGGCGCTCCTCAAACGCCAAGTTCACATGCCGGATGCCCGAATCCTCGAAGTCGCGCGGCTTGTAGGACAGCAGCCGTGCTCTCGGGCCCTCCTCAGGCATTGCAAGGGACCCCTACGGTGAGGAACATTTGCTTAGCGTGTCGCGGGGGTGACCTCTGCGACACCTGTGCATTGCAAGCTTATGGCGAATCGTCGCTCTGCTTCATAAGATGGGAGGCTGCGAAAAGGTCGGAACGTTGATGCTTGGGGACTGGGACGTGCTTAGCGTGTCGCGCCGAAGCGTGGGACCAGAAACGGCGGCGCGGCAAGCTAGGCAAACGTTCCTGATCGTAAGCCTCCATCGGGACAGCATGGGACGGGGGTAAGGGCGGAATCCATTGTTGACTGCCCAAACTCTGGCTTTGGGTAATGCCATTGCGGCATGCCGATGTCCTCCTCGTGCGCCGGATGGTTGCACTGCACGACTACCTCATGCAAGATGAATGGGATGGATGGGATGGGAATTCAGCATGTGAGGGTGCAAGTCAAAAGGTTGGAAGGACGAACTCTCTCGACACCGTGATTCAGGTGGGTTCTTATTAGCCCCCCGCTCCTCATCACCCTCCTCCTCCTCCTCCTCCTCCTCCTCCTCCTCGTCAGCTTGAATTTATCTCCGCAAAGCTTTTGCGCCAGATCCCAAGGTTCCCAAACGTGCTTGATCCATCCGCGGGACTCCCGAAGGCGGTCCTGTAGGGAGGAGGGGGAGGAGGAGGAGGAGGAGGAGGAGGAGGAGGAGGCGAGGTAAGAGAAGGAGGAGGAGGAGGAGGAGGACGATCAAGAGGAGGAGGAGGAAGCGGGGGACCAGAGTGAACGTAAGATGCGTCAGCGATGCGATGCTGCAACACACCCTCCTGTCCCACGTCCCCCCATAGGTCCCTGCAAGCTTTCCTGCTCACTATAAGAGGCGCCCCCATGGAAAGATTAGCACCCCGTGGGCCTGCCGTCGAGGCGAGAGCCCCGCTCTGGAAACGCAGCGGAGAAGTATAGTTATGCGATTCAGCGAGGTGTCCAACAGGATCCCCAATTTGAAAAAGGGCCGCCCACGCATGTACCTGCTGCATGCAAGTCTATAGGTATGGCCATCAACTTCGAGGAAGTCTCAAGCGAGAACCCCATTTTGAAAAGGAGCCGCCCTCGTCCGCGCGGCTGCCACAAATATCAAGCTGGAGCCCAATGTTGAAAAGGAGCCGTCCTCCATCGTTCCAAGGAGGTCTCTGGCAAAACGCCCGGCCCGCCCTACTGACACGTCCAGGTGTACGACAGGGAGAGTTATCCATAAGGAAAAGGGATGGGGGAAGAAAAAACGGTGAAAAAAGAGGAGGTGCAAGGGCAGGAAGAGGAGGGCGAGAAGGAGAAGGAGGAGGAGGAGGACAAGGACGAGAAGGTAGGTCAAGGTCATCCCCGAAACTACATCCCACCTCGACTTCCCTCAGAAGTGTCCAGAAGCCGACTCGCTCTCCGACAGGCAGCATGTTCTTCCGCGCGAGACGGATATCCCGAGAAGGAAGCGACGGTAACAGCGGCACAATGATTTTCATGAGGGAAGACGCGCGGCGTCTCGGGATCGGCTGCTGTTAGAGCTGCAAGCCTGAGCACCCTGATAAACCGAATCCTTCCCCTCTTACTAACACCACGGTCGGGAACTTCTGCTCAGCGTGTCGCCGCGGCGGCCCCTGCGACACGCTATGCCTGCAAGCGGATAGCGTGTCGCTCCGCTCCGCGAGGCGGGAGGCCAGGAACTGCTCGGGGACGTCGACTCCAGGGGCCAGGAAGCGATTGCCGCGTGGCTCTGGAGCGTGGTAGGCCAGAACCGTCGAAAGGACACGATACCCCAAAGTTCCCGACCGTAGGTGTCCTCCCGCTTCTCCTCCTCCAACAATGGAGGCCTTTCCTGAGAGCGACAGCCCCCAGAGCCAGGCAGACCAGGAGCCGAAAGCCAGAATCCGCCCAAGACTCGGAAGCCTGGCCACCAGACCAAGGTGCACTCACGATCTGCTCCAGACCTGCTGGAGGACTCGAAGCATCAAAATACGGCCGAAACTCGATATTCTGAGGCTCCTAGCTTTCGGAAAAACAATGTTGCCTGGAGTACACACGCGTTCTATCTTCCTGGTCTTCCTCCTTCTACCTTGCCACAGTCAACCCATCGACGTCGACATGCTTCTTATCATGGAAGAGTGGCTGAGCTTGCACATGTTTTCAGACCGCTTACGACGCTTTCTGAATGGCAATATGTTGTTGGGGCCGCGCTGTACGAAACGGGACCACTACGGCGCGCCAGGCAACATCACAGCTCGCTCGGAGATGTTCTACACAGAGCAAGCGTTCCAAAATAAGAAGCCCTGGCTGTTGAGTAGGATGGAGCAGGAGTGTGTGCCCACCTCAGTCAAACTGTGCGACCCATCTGAATCAAAGGGTGCGCGGGCGAGGTGGCGAGCCTTCGCACGCACCACCATGCCAAAAGTGGAGAGGGGGGAGCGGGACTGACCGCATCTCCCTCGCGAGGAGTCGCTCGCGCAAACTTCGGTACTGAGCGGATCCCTCTCGCGACCGCCGAGACCCCTCAAGGGCTGCCGAGCTCCACGTACCTGACCGGAGTGGTCATAGCATCGCGGCGGAACGGCTCGCCGAGCTCCTGGTTCAACACCACCTCCACCAGAGTCGTCTCGTTCCTCTTCATCTGCCCCTCGATCGCATCGGTCAGCGCGCTCTCGAGCTCCGCAGTGGTGCTGACCTTTACACCCTTCAGGCCGCATGCCTTCGCCACGGCGGCGTACTCCACGCCGTAGTTCAGCTCCGTCCCAACAAAGTTGTCAGCGTACCTAAAGGAACACGGAAGGGCCAACATATACACTGTTGGAGGTCCGCGCGGATTTCTTGGATCCGCGCTGGACCCACCTCACTAGCGCCGCCAGGGGGGCCAATGCGCCGATCCGAGAAATCCGCGCGGAGCTCCGAAAGTTTACGTTTATGCAGTTGTCTCGTCTTCGCGTACCACAAGGTCGTGTTGCGCTTCTCGGCGCCCCACTGGTAGTTGCGGAAGACCACCATGGTCACGGGCTTCCAGTCATTGCGGCCGCAGGCAGTGAGCTCGTTCAGCGAGATGCCGAACGCGCCGTCGCCTGCGAAGCCCACGACGGGGACGTCGGGACAGCCGATCTTCGCGCCCAGGATGGAGGGGAACCCTTGAAGAAAAAACGGCATAGACAGAAACTGCTTGATCTCCGCGCGGAGTTCGTGGATCGGCGCTGGACACCTCTCCCTGGCGCGCGGAGCGCGCCAGGGGCGGCGCCGCAGGTGCCGCCAGGGGGAGGCCCAGCGCCGATCCAAGAAACCCGCGCGGAGCTCCACAGTTTATACTTGTGCCGTTTTTTCCTCTTCGAAAGCCGTAGCCGCAGGGGCCGAAGAGGCCCGGGGCCAGGTATTTGCGCCCCTGCTCGAACGACGGGTAGGCGTTGCCGATGGCGCAGTTGTTCCCGATGTCGCTGGAGATGATGGCATCCTTCGGAAGAACGCGCTTGATGGCCCGCCACGCCTGCCGGGGCGACATCCTCTCTGGGTGCGCCGCCCTGCAGCGCTGGTTCCAGGTGGTGCCCGGGTCGTCCTGCTTTTAGGTGATGTTGGAAATGCTGGGGGCGTTCCTTTTCCGGGTTCAAGATCGACGTTGCGCTTTGCGCCATTTTCAATTCGGCTCCGCTTTGTAAGGCAATTGTGTGCCGTTCCGTTTTGGTTGGCCGAAAACCGAAAAACCGAAAACGGAGAAAAAACGCCCCCAGCGTTTTCGACATCAACTCGGGTCCTGCTCGTGGTCCATGGACTCGAGCTCCGTCGCCCAGCTATCCTTCGCGCTCTTCACCAGCGCCTCCCGGCTGGCACGGCCCGCCTCCCCGGCGGAGGGGGACAGGTGCTCCAGGAGGCCCTCAGCCACCAGGCCGGCGTCGCCCTGGATGCCCACGGCCACGGGCTTGGTAAGGCCGATGCGGTCGCTGTTGATGTCGACCTGGATCAGCTTCGCGTCCGAGGGCCAGTAGCTCATGCCGTAGGCGGGCAGCGTCGAGAAGGGGTTCAGACGCGTGCCCAGGGCCAGCACCACGTCGGCCTTCCCCATGAGCTCCATGGCGGCCTTGGAGCCGTTGTAGCCCAGCGGGCCCGCGAAGAGGGGGTGCGTGCCCGGGAAGGCATCGTTGTGCTGGTAGTTGCAGCACACGGGTGCAGACAGACGCTCGGCCAGCTTGCGCGACGCCTCCCCCGCCGCGCGAGGGGAGAGGGGACAGCAGAGTCGTGTTCGAAATTCCAAGGAAAGACTGCGGATTCGAAGGACTGGTAACGTCAGGTGTTGCGAAACACTTGAGTGTTTGAATATTCGATTATGTGGAACGAGAAGTTGTTTCTCATGCCGACGCATTAGGTTTGTGGTTATTTGGTTTGTAGAAGCAGACGTCAAAGGACGTCGTCGGGGGGGAATAGCGAGTCAGCTCGCGCAGCCTGTCTTCCTGGCAGCGGAGGCGCCCGTGCCTCGAGGAAGGCGACCGGCGGCGGGGCCGACACTGGCTACATGCAGCAATTCTTACCGCCCCCCCTTTCCCCTCCCCCCGACAGTTTTTCGTCCTCGTCGTCTGGCTTTCGGGTGGTCAGCCCTTTGGCCTCCGGCATCCGCTCGGGACGGTCCGGGCAACCCCAGAACACTCTCGGCGAGGCGCAACTGCTTGGGGTCCCAGGTTGAAGTAATGTGTTCTTTTGGGGCTAAAGCCATTTGTTCGGTGGTCAGACAAAATCCGCCGACCCTGTCGGCGTATGTGAAACGCCTTTCTGTTTGAGTCGTCGTCGTCGTCGTTGCTATCGCCGCTCCACCCCTTTCCTTGGGCCCTCCTCCTCAAGCGATACAGCCAGACGGGAATCAAACACCGTCATAATTGATTCGAAGGGCAGCCCCTTCCCTTTGATCTCTTCCCTGGCAGGGGGGGGGGGGGGAGTAGCGGAGGGGGTCCCACGGAGGGTCCAGGGGGGGTCCCTAGGGTCGTAACTTCCCCCCAGCGAACCTTTGTGGACAAGGGGGACAGGGGGCGTGGCCCACTTGTGGATAGGGGAAACTCAGGACCCCTCCCCCTGGCTCCCCCCTGCAGACAAGGGGACCACAACCACCACCACCCCTCCTCCCGAAGATCCCCCCCAGAGGCACCCTCCTCACTCTCATCTGTGAAGTTTCCCATATGCTTCCAAGAGCCCTCAGATCCGCCCCGAGGCGGCTCCAAGTGGCCACGGAGCTTCCCAAGAAGGCTCCCAAGAGGCCCCAAAGCAGACCCCACAGGCTCCCAACAGAGCCCCAAGAAGGACTCCAGAGCGTCAGCGTCGTCGTCGTCAGCGTCGTCGTCGTCGACCCCTTCAAGGTCGGCGGCACTGGCTGTAAGGACTTCCCAACATAGTATGAAGGTCAAGAACATGTATTCCAAGCTTTGGATGCGCGAGCTGTGTAAGCCAAAATTGACCAACCAACCCGCCACCCAACCATCTAACGAACCAACCAACTGCTCAATCGACCTGGAAAAATCTGTTCGACCCGACAACTGGACGACGACGACGAAGAAGACGACGACGACCACGACGACGACGGAATGCAATGGAATGGAATGACATATAATGGAATGGAATGGAATGGAATGGAATGGAATACAATGGAATGGAATGGGATGGAATGGAATGGGATGGAATATAATGGAACGGAACGGAATGAAATGGAACGGAATGGAATGGAATGGAGTTGAATGGAATGGGATAGGATGGGATGGGATGCGATGGGATGCGATGCGATGGCATGGGATATAATGGAATGGATTGGAATGTAATGACTTGGACTGCGAAGGGAAAGAACGGAACCACCACCGCCTGTCGGTGATCCTGCTCTTGCTCCGTCCTGTTATATTACATTAGAACCCGTTGCGTTCCAATCAATTCCATTCCTTTCAATCCAATAGTATCGCATCGCATCCCATCCCATCGCATCCCATCCCATCCTATCCCATTCCATTTCCAATCCAATTCATTGCACTCCATTCGGTCGTCGTCGTCATCGTCGTCGTCTTTGTCGTTGTCCGTCGTTGTCAGTCGTCCGTGATCGTCCGTCGTCGTCCGTCGTCCGTCGTCCGTCGTCGTCGTCGTCGTCGTCGTCGTCGTCGCCGTCGCCGTCGTCGTCATCATCATCGTTCGCGGCGTTGCCGCGTGGCAAGTCGAGTTGTGTATTTCCCCCTCGGCGTTCCCACGTGCCGAGTAAAGTAGAATTGTGTGTGCTCCGCCCCGCGGCGTTGCCACGTGAAGAGCATAGAGGAATAGTACGTTGCCACGTAGCGAAATGGAGAGGAATGGCTTTGTTTAGTTCGCACCCCCCCCACAGGCGCTGTCACGTGACGAGTACAATGGAACAGTATGCTACTTGTGTTCACCCTCCAGGCGCTGCCACGTGGCAAGTCGTGGAAAAAGTGTGTTCTGCCCCAAAGCTTTGGCATGTGACATGTAGGAATTTCCGTCTCTGCTGCGTTGCAACATTGCGCATTGGATTGCGTTGGCATTGAACTGCGTGTGCGTTGCACTGCAGTGCAGCGCATTGCGTTACACTGCGCTCGCAGTTGCACGAGACTTGATTTACGGACAAGTCGAATACGAATTGACCACTAACAAACGCCAAACTGGCCAACCCGCCAACCGATCAACCAAAAAACCAGCCTACCTACTAACCAACCAGCCAACCAACCAGCCAGCCAACGAGCCAACTAATCAACGAACCAACCAACGAGTCCCTCCAGTGGAATTTCAAGGATGTCCCACACCGCGGGGCCCGGATTAGATTTGTTGACAAAGCAGTCAGCCAGCCAACCAACCAGCCAACCACTCCAGAAATATAGATGTTTTATCCGGCAGCCAGCCAGCCAGCCAGGCCACTCTTTGGGGCGCTATTGAGGATGTGTCACAGGCGGGAACTGGAATAAGTGTGATTGACCCCGAACAACTTGTTTCAACCCCGAGACAGAAAATTGCCACAGCGCCGAAAACACACATGTTCTTGATCCTTCTCCCCTGGAGGGCAGCCCGGGGCTGGAAAACCGCCGAGAGCCGACGAAAGCGCCCCAAACCCCGAGCCTACAAAGGACATCCCAATCCCCCCCCCTTCCCCCGACTCGAGCCTCGATGCCACCCTCGGACAGTATCACTCCAGCGCCGTTCAGGATCACCGGGAACTTGGCCTCCGAGAGCAGCGCCGCGGCCTCCTTGACAGACTTTTGGCCACCCGGCGAGCGCTCGATGTGAGTGGCGGACGGCAGTGGCAGTTCCACTACCTTGGTCTACGTGCACTTCCTCCTGCTCCTCCACCCTCCTCTTCCTGCTCCTCCTGCTGCTCTTCCTCCCCCTCCTCCTCCTCCTCCTCCTCCTCCTCCTCCTCCTCCTCATCATCATCATCATCATCATAATCGTAATCATGATACTCATGATCATGATCATGATCAGCATCAGCATCAGCATCATCATCATCATCATCATCATCATCATCATCATCATCATCATCACCATCGTAATCATCATTATCATTATCATCATCATCATCATCATCACCATCATCACCATCGTCATCGTCATCATTCCTGTTCCTGTTCCTCCACCCTCCTCCTCCTCCTCCTCCACCTCCTCCTCCTCCCTCCTCCTCCTCCTCCTCCTCGCCATCATCATCCTCCTACTCCACCTCGCCATCATCATCATCATCATCATCAGCAGCAGCATCATCAACACAATCGGCATTATAATTATCATCATCAGCATCAGTATCATCATCACCTTGAGCATCATCATAACCATCATCAGCGTGATCATCATCATCATCATCATCATCATCATCATCATCATCATCATCCTTCTTATCATCGTCATAATCATAAGCAACATCATCATCAACAGCATCAGCATCATCATGATGATCATCATCATTATCACCAGCAAAGTAATCGTGGGCATCATGATTATGATTACTATCAACATCCTCATCGTCGACGTCATCATCACCATCAGCAGCATCATCATCATCTCTAAGATCATCATCACAATCATAATTCTCATCATCATTATCACAATCATCATCATAAACATCACGATCAGCATCATCATCATCATCATCACAATGTATCAATATCTGAATCAGCATTATCGTTACCATGGTCAACATCATCATCATCATCATCATCATCATCATCATCATCATCGTCATCATCATCATCATCATCATCATTGTCATCGTCATCGGCAACGTCATGGTCATCATCACCTGCATCATCATCGCCATCGTCATCAACCTCAGCATCATAACCATTGAATCATTAGCATGATCGTCGTCGCCACCACCACCACCGTTATCCTCAGCATCGTCCAAATCCTAATTCTCACCCTCATCATGACCACCACCATCATCTTTACAAGTTCCATCGCCATCATCATCAGTATCATCACCACCATCCATCATCATCGTCATCACCATCATCATCATCATCTACCATCTATCCTCATCATCACCACCATCAGCATCATCATCTACCATCATCACCGCAATGATCATCATCAGCACGATAATGGCCATGACCAACACCATTAATATCGTCATCGGCATCGCAAACGTAATCGTCATCATCACCTGCACCGTCATCACCATCGTCATCAACCTCAACCACACCCCCACCGCACCATCACCATTATCATCCTCCTCATCATAATCATGTTCACTATCATCATCATCATCAGCATCATCATGCTCGTCATCGCCATCACCACCATTATCCCCATCATCGTCTCATCGTCGTCGTAAACACCATCATCAGCGCCATCGTCATGATCATCATCAGCATCATCATCATCATCATCATCATCAGCATCATCATCACCATCACCATCATCATCAGCATAATCAGCATCCTCATGTTCATCCTTGTCCTTGTCCTTGTCCTTGTCTTTGTCCTTGTCCTTGTACTTGTCCTTGTCCTTGGCATTGTCCCTGTCCTCATCCTCATCCTCATCCTCATCCTCAGACCAGCACCACCGCTTCCTCCTCATCTCGAGGTTTCCCCCTCGAAATCAGCCATATCCTCGTTGCCAACATCATTATCCTATTCTCGCCTCCCTCCTCCCTCCTCCCTCCGCCTCCACCTCCACCTCACCCTCACCCTCTCCTCCCGCTGCGCTTGCGGCGGCCCCGATTGCCCGCCCGGCGGCCCCCGACTCTGGCCTCGGGAGGCTGCGACTTCGCCCTCGACTTCGCCGCCGAGTGCCGGTGCTCCCAGCGCTGACGCCGGGCCGCTGGCGTCGTCGCTTTCGCCCTCGCGGCCGTCGTCGGCGTCGACGGAGACGACGACGCCGTCGCCGCCCAGCGGGCGCGGCTGAGCAGGGGGGCCCCTGGGGGCGAGCCGCTGGCGTGGCGCGAGTGCGGTGGCCTGCCGCGGCCTGCCTGGCCGCCCCCGATCGCGAGGGCGGCCCTGATGCCGGTGGCGGCTGGCTCCCGCCAGACGACCCCGAGTCCATGGAGGTCTCTGTTCCCTCGCCGCGCCACGCGGCCTCTCGCGCTGGCCCCAAGCCAGAGTGCCCGCTGCCGCGGCGGAGCTGGCGAGGCCGCGGACGCGGACGGACACAGGCGCGAGGCCTGCTGGAGGAAGCAGGCCGCCTCAGACGGCATCCCGTTTGGCGGCTGTGGCCTCGATGCTTTCCCTCCCAGTGCACGATAGCACATCGAACCGCCACGATCACGCAATGATATGGCCTAGCTGGAGCCTGGAGCCTCGGCCAGGTTGCACCGGCGCCATCGCGAGGATTTCAGACGGCTGCGCGTGCCGGCTGTGCTCTTCTGCGCGCACCTCGACGCACCGAATGGTCGGCTGCGCCAATGGTCCTGCAGCAGCTGCCATCGTCCGGCGATGTGCCTGGGGGGGAGTGGGAGTGAGAAGGAGCAGGCCTTCTCAAAAGGCTCGGAAGGCCTCGGGCCTTCTGAGAAGTTGTATGAGCCTTCCCCGAAGACAAAGGAACCTTATCAGAAGGACCGGATACTTCTGAGAAGACCCGCCACCTTCTGAGAAGGCCTTCCCCCTCTCACTTCCCCCCCGGCCGCGCCGCTGCCATGGTCCCGTGCGCTCGCGAGCGTTTCTGAAATCTCGTCGGCCTGATCGTGTTGAGCCCTCGGTGCGGCCCGAGAGTCTGGCGGCGGCTGCTGCTGGAGGCGAGGCGAGGCGGCCCCGATCGCTGCCACTCGGCAGGATCGTGAAAGTGCACGGGCCCAGAAGTCGCATGTGTCGGCCTACTGGCCCGAGCATTGCGAAGCGTCATGTTTTCTGTGCAGGCGACACACCACCGAAGAGCCGCGGCTACAGTGGATACATACGACAAGAAATCCCGCTATAAGTAATCTGGGGGCACGTTGGTCGACGGCCTCCGACCCAAAAAGGCTGCCACCTATGGGGGGCGCATCTGTTCCTTCCGCCACCTTCCGCCTGCACTCCTTTCTGGTCGCGCTACCCCCTGCTGCGCCAGGCTCCGGAGGTCTTGTGACGGCCCAGCTGAAAGCCTGCCTTAATCGCGGGGTGCCATCGGATCTGTAATCGACGTGAGAGCCCACGGAGACACGCGAGGCGATGCCGCCCCCGTTTCGCTTCCGCCGCTCTCCGCCGGCCCTCCGCCGGCCTTCCGCCGAGGAAGAGGCGCCAACTCCGTCGGCCCTCGGAGGCGAAGAGCCTCTTCTGGGATGCGTGGTGGCGCAGTGCCCTGGTCGGGCCAGGGAGGGCCAGGGTCGTCTCTGGAGGATTCCGCGAGGGGCCTGCCTCCCCGACGAGCGGGCGGGGCGCCGCGCTCTGTGGAGCGGGGCGCGCCCTCGGTGGGTGCGCGAGGCCACGCGGATGCTGCCCGCGGCTTGCCCTGACGAGGGCGCAGACGGAGCGATGCCGAGGGGGGTCACCAAGACCGCCTCGAGCTTCGATCCTGGAATCTCGCGTTCCTGGTGATCCCCCCCCCCAAAGTGGTGCCCCCCCTGGCACTGCCCCATTGGCCCTGATAAGGGCGCAGACGGGTGGCCAGGCAGCAGACAGCGGTCTCGGTGGCCCAGTCGGGGCAGCAAGGGCATCCGTGGGGGCAACGCTGTGTCGAACGCAGTTCGCCGTGTCGGGGTGGTGTAGTCGCTGCGGTGCTTCTGTGGCCCCTCTGGTTCAGCGTAGTGTTGCGTCCTCTTCCACTTCCCTCTCCTCCTCCTCCTCCTCCTCCTCCTCCTCCTCCTCCTCATCATCATCATCATCATCATCATCATTATCATCCTCCTCCTCCTCCTCATCATCATCATCATCATCATCATCAGCATCAGCATCAGCATCATCATCATCATCATCATCATCATCATCATCATCATCATCATCATCATCATCATCGTCATCTTCAGCATCATCGTCATCATCGTCATCTTCAGCATCATCGTCGAAATCATCATCATGATCGCCATGATCATCATCAGCAGCAGCATCAGCATCAGCATCATCATCATCACCATGACCAGCATCAAACGTCGCACCATCACTTGCACTACCACCATCAACATCACCATCACCGTCATCACCGTAGCCATCATCATCATCAGCAGCATCATCATCAGCAGCACCATCATCATCATGAACATCATCAGCATCATCATTATCATCACTATCAACATCAACATCAGCATAATCATACTAATACAAATTCAAGTATTAACATCAATAACAATAATACTAATCACCATCATCATCATCACCACCACCACCACCGTCATCATCAGCAGGATCAGCATCGGCACCATGTGCATCATCATCATCATCATCATCATCATCAGCATCAGCATCATCAACATCATCATTAGCATCATAACCACCATCAGCATCTGCAGGATCAATACCACCATCAGCATCATCAGCATCATCATCATCCCCAGCATCATCATCAACAGCAGCATCATCATCATCAAAATTCATCCCCACCATCACCATCATCAGCAGCATCGTCATTATTTTTATCATCCGGACCATCTCCATCATCAAATACACCATCATTATCATCACCATCATCACCATCAGCATCGTCTTCATCATCATCACTATCATCGTCATCCTCATTCATAACCTCCTTACCATAAGCATCAACATCAGCATCATAATCAATACCATGATACCAGAGAAAAAACCCAATCAGAATTTGGGGGGGGGCTATGGGGCTTTAGGGCTTTAGGGCTATGGGGCTATAGGGCTATAGGGCGATGTGGCCATAGGGATATAGGGCTAGAAGCCTTTAGGGCTATGGGGCTATAGGGCTACAGGGCTATGGGGCTAAGGGCTATAAAGCTATTCGGGCTATAGGGCTATATACGGTTATAGGGCTTTAGGACCATAGGGCTATAGGGTTATAGGGCTATAGGGCTATAGGGCTATAGGGCTATAGGGCTATGGGGTTATGGGGCTATGGGGCTATGGGGCTATTGGGCTATTGGGCTATAGGGCTATCGGAGGTGAGGGGGTGAGATCGAAGTGGAACGGCGAGCCCCCCACCGGGAAATCGGTTTCGGTTTCGTGTTCGTGCGTGCCGTGCGTGCGAGGCGAAGCTGCGTGGGCGGGCGAGAAAAAGTCTCCTGTGGCCGAGGCGCGGCCGGACCAAATGTTTCTCTTCCGGGGCGCGGGGCCCCACGGTGTCCCGCCGGTGTCCCGCGGTGTCCTCCTGTGCACGGCCGGACCAAATGTTTCTCATCCGGGGCGCGGGGCCCCGCGGTGTCCCGCCGGTGTCCCGCGGTGTCCCGCGGTGTCCCGCCGGTGTGGTGTCCCGCCGGTGTCCCGCGGTGTCCCGCGAGGATGATGATGAGATGATGATGATGATGATGATGATGATGATGATGATGAAGATGATGATGATGATGATGATGATGATGATGATGAGATGATGATGGTGGTGTCCCGATGAAGATGATGATGATGATGTTGATGATGGTTTCGATGATGATGATGATAGTGTCCAGATGATGAAGACGATGATGCTCATGATGATTATGTTGATGATGATGACGATGATGGTGTCCCGATGATGACGCTGATGATGACGATGATGATGATTCCGATGATGTTGGTGATGATGATGTTGATGGAAATGGTGTCCCGGCGATAATGATGTTGATGATGAGGATGTTGATGACGATTATGGTGTCCCGATTATGATGCTGATGATGATGATGGTGATGCTGATGGTGTCCCGATGATGATAATAATGTTAATGACGATGTTGATGATGATGTTGCTCATGATGATGATGGTGCCACAATGATGATGATGTTGTTGATGGTGATGTCGATGATGATGCGATGATCATGATGATGGTGTCCCGAGGATGATGACGATGTTGATGATAATGTTGATGATGAAAACGATGGTGATCATGATGGTGTCCCGATTATGATGATGATTATGATGATGCTGCTGATGATGATGACAATGACTGTGTCCAGATGATGATGACGATGTTGATGATGAGATGGTGATGCTGATGATGATGATGGTGATGTTGTCCCGATGATGATGCTGACGTTGATGATGATGTTTATGATGATGATGATGATGATGATGATGATGATGATGATGATGATGATGACGGTGCCCTCATGATGATGACGATGTTGGTGATGATGTTGATGTTGATGATGATGATGATGATGATGATGATGATGATGATGATGATGATGATGACGTTGATTGTGAGAGCGATTGTGATATCGATAGTGAGATCGATATTGAGACCGAATGTGAGATCGATTGTGTGATCGATTGTGAGATCGATTGTGAGATCAATTGTGAGATCGATCGAATGAGATAGATCGAGTGAGATCGATTGTGAGATCGATCGAGTGAGATCGATCGAGCGAGACCGATAGTGAGATCGATACTGAGATCGATAGTGAGACCGATCGAGTGAGACGTTGGTTCCCCCCCCCCGAACCTTCTTATCACCCGAAGGGTGGTCGTATAGGTACGGCTATAGGGCTATAGGGTTATGGTACTATAGGGATATATGGCGATTGGGCTATTGGGCTATAGGGAAATAGGGCTATTGGGCTAGACACCCCCGGGCACTTCTGGGCACCCCGGGCACCCGGGCACCCCTGGGCACCCGGGCACCCCCGGGCACCCCCGGGCACCCCCGGGCACCCGGCCCCGGCCACCGAAATCGGCCACACACCTGGGCACCCCCGGGAACCCCCCGGCACCCGGGCACCCGGCCCCGGCCACCGAAATCGGCCGCTCCCCTCACCTCAGCTTTATATCCGCTAGGACCCCTACAGAGGCAAGCTCTGATTGGGGAATAATCAGCCGCATCGTCCTGATCATAACCTGATTTCTGCTCCTCATAATTATCCTCCTCCTCCTCCTCTTCCTCCTCCTCCTCCTCCTCCTCCCCCCCTCATTTCTCCTCCTCGCTCTCTTCCTGCCCTTCCCCCGTCCATTTCCTCATCCCCATCCCCCTTCCCCTCCTAGTCCTCCTCCTCCTCCTTCTCCTCCTCCTTTTCCTGCTCCTCCTCTTCCTCCTCCCCCTCCCTTTCCTCCACCTCCGTGGCCTCCGCATCCACCTGCCCCCTCTTCTTCTCTTATTATCCCTCTCCCACAACTGATGCCTCCTCTTTCCTGCCCCCCCCTGATGCTCCTCCTCCTCCTCCTCCTCCTTCTCCTCCTCCTCCTCCTTCTCCGCCTCCTCCTTCTCCTCCTCCTCCTACTCCGCCTCTTCCTCTTCCTTTTTCACGTTAGGCAAAACTTAGATCGGTTGGGATCGTAGCGTCATGGTGGTAGACCAACAAAGAAACGGCCTGGCATGAAACCGACTTCGCCGCAGTGGCCAGCGCATTTCACTGCAGGCAAATACGGACAGAACGAGGGGCATAGAAAATCCTCCTCCTCCTCCTCCTCCGCCTCCTCCTCCTCTTCTCATCATCCGTCCCCTCCTCCTCCTCCTCCTCCTCCTCCTCCTCCTCCATCGTGCTGCTCCCCCTTCACCCTCGGACACCTTGGTCCACATGTCCCTCGGGATGTTGATCTGCGCCGGAGCGCTGCCGCGCAGCGCCTTCTCGATGACGCGGTTGAGCACCTCCGCGATGCGGTTCGGGTCCCGCACCTCCTCCTGGTAGCAGACGCAGTCCTGGCGCGGGCGAGGCCCCAGCCACCGACGAGCCCGTCGGTGCCCCCGGACATTGTTTTTGTCATCCGCTGGCGCGTAACGGTTGTGACCCGGGCCAAATCCTCACCCTCCACCCCCTCTCTTCGGATCGGCCGTACTTTGGGCGACTTCGTCAGTAGGGCCAGAAGTTTCGCCCTACTCTGCGAGGTCCTTTGATGCCGATTTCCGCACTACTTTGCCGTTGCTGTTCCCGCCATACCTTTGCAAAAATATCCGCCCTACTTTCCTGAGGCGGAGATGTCCGTCGCATCGTTTGGGGTGCATTTCCGAGATAATTTTAAATCGGGACATTGACCAAAGAACGGCGGATCCGAAGTCACAGTAACGATCGTACGTGGGGGCGGGGGGGGGGCCTGGACCCCCACTCCACATGCTGGTGCTCTCGCGCATGCCATGGCTATCTCGGCGCACCCCGCCCCGACGTGCCCCACCCCGCCTGAGCATTACAGTTACCTGGGGCCCCAGCCCTCCTTCCCTGTCGTCATCGTCGTCGTTGTCGCCGTCGTCGTCGCCATCGCCGTCGCCGTCCTCGTCGTCCTTGTCGCCGCCCCCGTCGTCGTCTTCATCGTCCTGGATGTCGTCCACGTCGTTGTCCTCGTCGTCGTCGTCATCGTCGTCGTCCTCGACGTCGTCGTCGTTATTGCCGTCGTCGTCTTCGTCGTCGTCGTCGCCGTCGTCGTCCTCGTCGTCGTTCTCGTCGTGGTCGTCCTCGACGCCGTCGTCGCGGT